GGGGTGAAATCTTCGCTCGCCTCAAGACCACCACGCCCACCTTGCGAAGAGTCCCGCGAGGTGCGAGGAGACCTGTGGCACAGTGCCTCACCAAGATTCTGGAGCAAGTTACGGAGTCAGGCGACGAAGAAAGTTGGGGAAAGCTGCTTCTTTTCCCTTATGCAGCACTTCCCGTCCCTCAGAAGGAGGATCGCGTCAAGAATTTGACCACGTGGGTCAAGATCAATACAGAATTGTGGGGAAAGAGCGACTTCTCCATCCCACGGTCCCTACCACCGCGCCCACCTTCCAACAAACCTCCACTCGACATGACGGCGAAGAAAGTGGAGGCGAAACTCGCCGACGGCGACATCAAGGGAGCAATCCGCCTGCTCCGACGACACCATCGCGCCGTCCGACGACGAAACCCTTTGCCGCACTACTTGCCAAGCACCCGGCGCACCCACAACCGATCAATCTCCCACCCCCACTTGAGGATCCCGTCATTGCCCCAGTACTCGACGAGGAGTTACTCAAGGCTATTTCCTCGTTTCCGCCAGGGTCGGCCGGGGGTCTAGACGGGATGAGACCCCAGATCTTGAAGGACCTCTTGGGGTGTGTTCAGGGCGAGGAGGGCGACCAACTCGCATCAGGCATACGGGCTTTCCTCAACAAGATTCTCGCCGGTGGAGTCCCATCTACCTTTTGCCCCTTCTTTTTTGGAGCCTCTCTCACGGCGTTGAAGAAGAAGTCGGGAGGGATTCGACCCATTGCCGTGGGGAATACGTGGCGGCGACTAGCCGCGAAGATCGTCGTGGGAAGAATTACCCCTCAGTTGGTCCAGCACCTTTCCCCACACCAACTAGGGGTGGGTATCAAAGGCGGGGCGGAGATTGGAGCCCACGCAGCCCGCATCTACTATAACCACGCCCACACCTCTCCAAAAGCGTTCCTGAAAATTGACTTCAGGAACGCTTTCAACGAAATTAGGCGGGACACGCTCCTCAACGTTGTCCGCGACCTGTTCCCGTCAATTTTTCCCTTCGTGGCCCAGTGCTACGACAGCCCCTCGTCGCTTTTCTACGGGACAATCCCCATCCCGTCCTTACTCGGTTGCCAACAAGGGGACCCTTTGGGCCCCGCCCTCTTCTCCCTCGTGGTCCACCCCATCGTCGAGGCGGTGGAAACGGAGCTTAACTTGTGGTACCTCGACGATGGGGCCATGGGCGACTCGCCGGAGAAAGTTTTGGCCGCCCTAGCAACGGTTGCTAGGATGAGCGGCGAAGTTGGCCTCCACCTCAACACGGAGAAATGTGAAGTGGGGATCCTGGGGGCGGAGCGCGAGGAAGCCATCGACATCCTCCTACAATTTCAGCAAGTTGCCCCCGGTATCCAATTGATGTCCCCCGAATCTGCGATGTTGCTCGGCTCCCCGCTTACCAATGAATCGCTTGAGGTTGTCCTGGCAACGAAGACCCAACAACTTGCAACTTTCTCCCAACGACTCCTCGGCCTCTCGGCCCACTCGGCCTTTTTCCTCCTGCGCGCCTCAATCTCCATCCCGAGGCTCATCTACTTTCTCCGCTGCGCCCCGTCATGGAGAAAGATGGATGACCTCATCCACTACGACGCCACCCTTAAGGACGCGCTCGAAGGGATCCTAAACTGTACTCTCTCGGAGGCTGCATGGATGCAATCCTCCCTACCCGTGAAGGAAGGCGGCCTCGGGGTCAGGCACGCTGTGGATGTGGCGATACCGTGTTTTCTTGCGTCCGCCCACAGCGTCCTGCCCCACGTAGAACGTCTCCTTCCCGGCTATCTCCATGGCAACGACATCGCCATGGCTGAGGGGGTTCAGAGATGGACGGATCTCGGCCTGACGGACCTCCCACCTGAAACCGTCAGAGGAGTCCAAGCCGCGTGGGAACGCCCCATTCTGGACAAGACTCTGTCCCAACTCTCCGATTTGGCAGTGATCCCGGAGGATACTGCCCGACTACGCTCCCTCCGCAACAAATACGCAGGAGTGTGGCTCAACGCCCTCCCATCTCCTCAACTAGGCACTCTCCTTCCCAACGAGACCTTCCGTGTCTCCGTCGCTCTCCGCCTAGGCTGCGACATTTGCCAGCCGCACAAATGTCCGTGCGGGGCTCCAGTTTCCTCCCGCGGCCTACACGGTCTCTCTTGTCGTCGGAGTGCAGGTCGTTGGTCCCGCCAGGAGGCCGCCAACGACGTCGTCGCGAGGGCCCTCCGATCAGCGGAGGTACTCTGTATCAGGGAGCCAGCAGGGTGCTCCACTACAGACGGCAAGCGTCCCGACGGGATGACGCTTGTGCCTTGGGCGAGTGGGAGGTCCCTCGTGTGGGACTTTACGTGCGCGGACACTTTCGCCCCAAGCCACCTGCCAGACACGTTGCGCCATCAGGGCGCTGCAGCCAGCAAGGCGGAGGACGCCAAGAATAAAAAGTACGCGTTCCTCATGGACCGGTATCTTTTCGTCCCGGTTGCCATGGAAACGACTGGAGTTTAGGGGCAGGAAGGACTTGCCCTCATCGAACAGATCGGGCAAAGGATTGCCTCCACGACCGGACAGCCTAATGCTGGCAATTTTCTTCGCCAGCGAGTTTCACTCGCCGCGCAACGAGGGAATGTGGAGTCGATCCTGGGTACACTTCCTCCAGGAAAGGAGTTGGAGGAGGTGTATTTTTTGTAACGATGTTTTTCTGGAATTTTGTCTTCAATTTGTGCCACGATTTTTATGCGTTTTTTTCTGTGTTTTCTGCGTTTTTTCTACGCGATTTTCTACGCTTTTCAGTTAGGGATTTTTGGTGTACAACGCTGGTCGTTTAGGCTTTTTTTATAATACGAAATGTAACAATATATACATACTCTGCGATACAATTTACACTCTGATCAATAAAAATAAATTACGTACGTCATTTTTAAAAAGTTTGAGTGGGAGAGGGGACGCGTCTTCTTTGTCGTCGTGAGAGTGTGTGTGTGAGTGCGTAGGAAGTAAGTAGTAGGTGTCGAGCAAGTAAGAGGCTCACCTTTTGTAGTTTAAAAGTATTCGAATAAATAATAAAAAATTAATTAAACGAAGTGTTTAATTCACGTGTTTTTTAGTTATTTATTTTCGTCTACTCTACATTAAGTTAAGTAAAGTCCAATTGGCACGATTTAAGCCGTTTTGGCAGGTTTTAGGCCAGTTTTAAGTCCAAGTCCAGTTTAAATAAGTCCAGTTTAAGCCCAAGTCCAGTTTAAAGTCCAATAAGTCTACGCATAAGTCCAAGTCAAGTCTACGCATAAGTTCATTACGGCACGAGGTCAGATCACCAGAAAACCAGTTATCACGAGAAGATAATTTCTGAAGCTGATAAGCCCCGGCCGTAACACCGGTAGTCCACATGTTTATAAAATTTTGACAATTTCACTTCACAGTTACTGTTTGGGAGTGGTAATTAACCACTATGCAAAATTTCAGCTCAATGAGACCAATTTCCAAAATCTGTATGGGTCGCCCCCTACGTTCCCTTTGTTTGAAAATTGTAAAGTTTGACTTCATATTCTTTCATCAGAAGCCACTAACGACCTCTGCGCCAAATTTCAGCATTATACGACAATTTTGAAAATTTGGTGCACAATACCCCCACTACCTATATGACCCCAACGGGTCAACCACTTGACCGATTTGGCTCATCTTCGAACTTAGCCTTACTTCTGACCCTTTCTATGTGTGTGCAAAATTTGAAGTCGATCGGAGAAGTTTAAAGAGACTTATGGTGTTGACAGACGGACGGACGGACACGATGACTACATAAGCCCTCTGACTCGGGCTAAAAACGGAATTTGATTATCTTTTTTGGTTAAAAACTTAACAACGCTAGTTTGCCGAAAACACCGGAAAAACGCCTTTTCGAAATCGGACAAATACTCGTGTACTCCTCATTCCTCGAGGAATGCGCCGGAAACAAGTCTTCCGTGTTGTCTAGGAATATTATGAAGGCGAGAATGCTAATTACAAAAAAAAATATTTTTTATTTGTCCTCCTGAAGATCCAAACTCTGAAATTTTTTGGTCAGAATTTTTTTTACAACATTCAGATAGAATTGTGAGCAATTGGGAAGGAACATCGAAATGTAATATATTCTTTGAAACCCAAGAATATTTACTTTACCCCTTTAAACAGAAAACTGCATAAAATAATTGGAAATGTCAAAACAAGGTCAGCAAACTAAACTGTTGCTAAAAGTCTATTTTGTGGAAAAGAAAGGAAACGCTCCGAATGTGCCTCAATCTTGCTCAATCGAGCGGTTTTGGGCCTTAATCAAGAAGGCATACTCTCAGCGGAAGATTCGACCCAAGAATTTGCGAGGATTTAGGTAGGTTATGGGAAAAATAATTAAACAAGTTGTAAAAACGAGTGACAAACTGACTTTGCGACTCCAGCTGGATTTATGGCTCCCATTTTTTAACAAAAAAACATAATCAAATTCCGTTTGCAGTTGTAGAATCCTGATTAAATGTTACATAAAATATGAAATTATTGACATCCGATATTAATTTTAACATTGAAAAAAATCCGGTTAATCTTGACACCTTACTTAGCAAAAGATCAGCATAGAGTAATAAGGTCACTGGACAGACAGAGTACAGTGGTACATTAGGAATGTTATATCATATCTGTATTGTGGCGGCACTTTTAGTCACTCAACTAATTCTCACCACTGAAACTACCAAATCGTGATAGCTCAAGGGGCTATACTAAATACTGATTCCACTTGGAATTCCGTTTACTTGGTGTTATGCCGCTGAATACTACCCAACAATGGAATGTCCCTTTGGCCTATCCAGTCACTTGACTACTACTAAACTTCCAGATGCCTATTCCGTTGAATGAATTCCGTTGAACGGTGCCACAGGCGTACTGACAAATGGTCTAATTTACTAATATTGAAGAGTTTATTCACGACAAAAACTTAGACTTTACAAATTTACGACCTTAAAATACAAGGTGTTACTCTGTTAAAGTCTACTGATCGACTGATGCTGTCGCGCTTGAGACACGCGATTTTATACACTATGGGAGCTTGGAGGTCGGATGTCCTCGAAGCGGGTGGAGGTCGGACGTCGTAGCACGCCTTTTCAACGGCATGATAATTATTTTCTTTATGCTACGACTTATAGAAAAACTAATAGCATTTACGCCTTAATTACTTCGAGAGCTATCTCAATAAATTATTTTTAGAGCTATATCAATTACACCCTTAATTTACACAGTTATAACTTAATCTAACATTCCGTTGATTCCGTTGAATCACACACTGTTAAGACAAAGTAACTGAACCTTTATAAATACCGTTGAAATATAAATCCATTGAAAACACATACAAATTACATTGAAAGTAATATACAAATTCCACTGAAGATACTATACCAACTAAATTAACTAAACTTGTCATTAATTGGCATAAATTCTTAAATGTGTTAATTCTGCCACGACATGTATCGAGGTAGTAAAGAGCAATTATTTAGCCGTTCAATAATTCCGTGACTGAATTACGCCTAAAATAAGCCAGAAAGAATATTCTTTTCACTAATATCCTCTTCCGTTAGTGGACACAATTTGTATTTCTTGTCACAGTTTTCCCTCCTTGGTGCTAGTGCGTCGCCATAAGTATCCCAGATTGACATCTTCGCAGTATCATATTTCCTAGCTTTTTTTAACCTGTTGGGGAGCACAATATTTAGTCATCTCTCCATTACTAAACTTGCAGATTAAATTTACCCAAATATTTTTAGAACCGTTTCTTCCCACTCTGAACTCTTCCCTTCCAACTGGTTCTGCTTAATTTGGCAAACATGGCGTATGAAACAGTCATGGGTATCGATTCGCCTTAAGCCCTGTATTGGAGTTCTGAATTAATTCATATTTATGCAAAAAAACGAAATTAAATCAAGGTTCCGAGTGGTAAATGATTACACCCGGAATTATGATAATGGGGCTTATGTAATCGTGACTAGGGTTGTACCGCTCCTCGCTCCCTGGGAGTTTTAAAACTCCCAAGAATCCCAAAAATCCCGGAGTTTATTTTTACTCCCCCATAAGCCCAATGGGGGAGTAAACTCCCTTTGAGTATATGCCCTGGGAATATTCCCAAAACTCCGGGAGTTTATTATCACTCCGAGGGAGTTGTACAACCCTAATCGTGCCCATTTAGAAAAATTTGAGACCAGCCCGCCACTTGTTCAACCTACCAGTAGGATTCTCTCAACTGCGTCAATTTCACCCATGAGGGAATTGTGGGTTAAATCCCGTCCAATTCTTTTCTTCAACTCGTCAAAACCGAAACCCGAGCCTTCATTCCAGATATCGTTCAGATGGTAGGGAAATATGCCTGCCATTCGGAGCGCCATTACCTCAAGTTTTAAAAAATTGGGAAAAACATTCTATTAAATGGAATAACCATAATCTTAATACCCAGTTGTTCACCCACCTTTAGGACTATTAATCCAAATATTACGGAATTCCGTGGGTCCAGGTTTATGAAACCAGCTGGAATAAATTAGACTGAGACTTGTGATACTCTAATAAATTGAAACCTATTTTACTTACCCCGTCGTCATCCCAGCACCTGGGACTATGGCGTTAAAAACTCCGACCTCGGTGGGGGGGCTCAATCCTAACCCAAGTAGGGAGAGGGCCAAGGCTATTGAGTAAATTCCAATTTTGTCAATTACTTGACAAAAGTGGTTGAGTGGTTTGTGATGCTCGGTGGAAGTAAACTTCAACAGTTACACGGCCTCAGAATTTATATCGGAGTTTATTTAGGTGGGAGTTTGTGCCCTAAATGACACGCATGTGTTTGGGCTGGCTGCCGTAAAACTTGTCAAACATCATTCTACACTGCCACGCTATTTAGAAGATTGTAGAGAGAGATTTTTCGCAAGTCAGATCTTGCAAAGTTAATATTTACTGTTTATTAACACAAGGGGGATTGAGCATGGCAATATTCTCCCAAACATGTATGCACGTAGCCCATTATGTTTGTCCTCTTGTTCACACCGTGTTGCTAGTGCGAACGGTATGTTTATTGCTTTCAATGTTGCAAGTATAATTTAAAAAATCGCGAATTCGTACCAAGAAACAATTCTAGTGACACAATTACAAAAAACATGGTTTAAATATGTTGCTAAATATATATATAGTTTAAAAATTTAAGAATTTAACCTCATGCCTCTCAAATTAATGTCCAAAAATTATTGTTGGATACCAGTTTATATGCTGGCAACACTCCGTTGCCTACCAAGTAATAATTTCCTAGCTTTGCTCCGCGTACCATAATTAAATTGGATAAACCCCACTTCACATACCTCTGACTCCCACATTTTTAAATGTACAACTTTATTTATTTTTACATAAACCAAAATTTTAAAAACCGATAGATCAACCTTTGACGCTGAAAGATTTTAAAAAAATAAGCCCCGTAAATATTGTAAATGCGCGAAACGTTGAAATAAAAATGGAGCAAAAAATAAATTAAAATAAAACCGGAAGAAGAAATGCCCCTGGCTGTATAGAAATCACTTGGCTGGTGGTGTAGGTGAATTTGTTGTCAAATTTAATGAAGCAATATTTTATGTACAAGATTGGAAAAAGATCAGAAATAAATTACTACTTCAAGTTAGAAAAATCGATCCAGAAAAGAGAAGAAAGAAAAGTTTGGTGAACAGTTGAAGCTTTTTCGTGCAGAATGTGCGCGTGGCTTCTTGGACTTTATCAAATTCCCCACAAACGTTAATATTAATGAAGAGTATTACACACATTCATACATTGATAAATTTAAGCTTTCAAAGTCTGTTCTGACTTCGTTCTCAGGAAAATTCGGAGATTTTACAGATTTTACTTCAAACTCGTAATTGGAATAGTTGAAGGGTGGGGAAGAGGGTGGGGATTTTGTGATGAAGTAATCCGGTGGAGACGTGGGCGGATTGTAAACAACTCAATTAGTTGTAAGTATATATTGTTTGATTGATTATGCCTGTGCTTAATAATACATTCCCCAAAACGCATAATTACAGGGGTTCATTATATTTCATTCCAAATACTCCATCAATTCCGTAATGTTCAGACACAGTTATTACTGGTAATTGGACTGTAATTATTTACTCTTATTTGCAACGAGCATTTCGTTCAACCTATTTGTCATTGATAGATGTCAAATACAATATACTTATGTTAAGCATCGTTATTAAATAGGTATTGTCAATGGGATGTTAATATCCAGAATGAACACAAGTTCCAGTTGATTTGTTTTCCTCAGATTTACACCGGCACGACAATTAGTCTCATTTCGCCAGGATTGATTCATGGGATGATTCCACAATGTATTATTATGGTCGTTTGCTCTAACTAAACAAATCGGTTGGTATTATTTATTCATGAATTATGGGAAGATGCTACCATTAATTAGCGTCATGTGGGATTTATTATTATTTTGTTGGCATGTCTAATCAGTAATTTATAAAAGAACCAAGAAAATACCACAGAGACGATGTTTTACGAATGCTTATATTACTCGACATACCGGTATTTCTTATTCCACGGGAATAGACGAACGGGAAACAACTATACCGAATTCCATTATATAAACAGCATCATTATGTAGTACAAGTTTACAACATCCATATCGTCCTCACAGTGCTATTATACTATTTTACACTTCTTACTTAACAATGTCGGACACTTATTCCTTCATCTTTTATCAAATTAAACTCTTCTGTCATGAAATATTGCTTCACTTTATCGGACCGTTTTCGCTCGTGGCAGGAATACCGTATTTGATCCTGTTAATTACTATGCTCATAATATTTCGCCCCCTCGTTAAGCTAATCAGTCTTATTTTACGCTCAGATTTAGCAGAATTACTTCCTCCGGCAGACTCAATTTTCACACAGTTGGATGATCCGGATCACGTAAAGAATTGCATCGTTGTTTAAATCCAATTCGAGGGTGCAGTGAGTCCTCAAGGTTTTTTAAAATACTACATGATCGCGTACTCGACGATAAATATCCAAATGGGGAATATCGATACCATGAGTTTCGCCAATCTTTTACCAGTATCATGGGTCTTAAATTGTTTTGGAAATGGGTCGACAACTTTGATGCCAGGGATCATATTCGTATTTATACAGAGGACCAGCCTAACTTTCCAGACGGAGCAGAAGGTAGGTTCTTCACAGTCTATTCAGCTGTCTATTGCCTATCATCAATTATCACTGAAATCAGAGTGGGAATGTAAAAAGTAAATGTTAAAAAGTGAAAAACTGGTAATTGACACTCTTAAAGAACCAATGAAGCATTATCACATAGCTAAAATCAGATTTTTGATGCATCCTATGTATTCCAGCCATATATAACTTTCCACATTTTTGTCATTCAGGACCACATGAGATTGGGAAGCGCCTACTTTGCGGCCCATTTGTTCCCCTGAAGAGTCCATGGGATTTCACCCTCGTACGTGAAACCATTCAGGGAGCACCGTTCACTACCATGTTTTTTAGAATTCACCACGGAATAGCAGATGGATACTCCATTCTATACATGTTCCAACGTCTTTTCGGCTCTGAACTTGAAGCTTCCCCGCCATTCAAGCAAAAACGTGCTGCCTTCAGCATCCCATACATTTTAAAATTCCCACTTAAAACAGTACGCATTGTGGGTGAACTTGTATACAACAGCTTGACTTCCTTCACGTGGAAAATCCCACAAGGGAAAAAGTCCCGCATTTATAACTACAAACTCCGAAAGTCCATTAGGGTTGAAAACATTCTGCGAATTAAAAGGAAATTTAATGTTACGTTTAGCTCTGTAGTGTTCTCCTTGTTGTCTGGAGGAATACATAGGTTCCTAAAAAAGAAGAATTGCTCAAACGGAGAGGAGTTGCATCCCATGAAAACCATTCCATCCATGATACCGGTTCCTATGTCGGGGCATGGTGTTACTTTCGAAAACCACTTGTAAGCTAATGGAATTTGAATTAAAAACGTTTATTTTGCTTTCTTAACTTTTCTAGCTCCTTCGCCCTGACAAAAATTCTGGTGGGGGAGGAAGACCCGGTGAAACGTTTGATGTCGATGCATAAAGAATTTATGAGGTTGCGCCACTCTCCCTTGCCTGTCATTGGGTCTTGGATAGTTAAGTTCCATGGGTCTCAAATAAACTCGATTGGAAGGCTGGTCAACAAATGACCCAGAAGTATATGGATCAAAATTTTGAATCCATAATTCAAAAGTTCATCAGAAAATTAAACTTATATGCATCCAATACTTCCGCAGTCAGCATCTTTTCCAGGGGGAAAATAATTAATACTTTTGTGACACCGGTCTTGTGGTACATCCTTAAAATTTTTTGACCCACCAGAGTCGTTCTTCACCACTATCTGTGGCCATATTGAGAGCTTTGTATGGAATGGTCGAAAAAGGTGGGTTGGGCGTCATCTGCTCTACCTACCTATCATAAAAGGTGGTCTTGGAGTCTTACACCCTAAAATTCAACATGCCACGTTCCGGCTAACCTTCGTTAATAGGTCGCTAGATCTGCATTTGGGATATTTTAATGAATTTTCTCATCAGAATATAATTCATATTTTAACTCGCAACAAAAGTGCCTCACATGCTCCTTATTACACAGCATTATGCAAGTTTGTGGAAAAATTGGCTTGCATTTAGATCAAACAACCCCAGAAATTTTTCACGACATTTATTTATCCAACTGCACATTTTTTAGAAAGTCATCTTTCCCATATATTGTGAGACTGGGTATTGAAACGATAGGAAAATTTTTGTCGACAGATTACAAACAAGCATCTCATACAGTACATCCAGCCTCTAGGCGTCATTTGCTTGTGGAATGCAGCGCTATTCAAGGTCGCCTTGACATGGTGAACGTGTCGTCAGACCTTCAACAATCTTTGATTTACTATTCGTTCTGTAATAATACCACGTTTGTCTCATTTCCCAAGGCAACGGCATATGTATCATGCACCCCGGTTACCCAAAATATTGACTGGGACTTATTGGATGAGGACTACCTCAATCAGAAATCCTGGCAAATTTTAAAATCATCAGAAATTACCAATCCTGAAAAGGACGTCATCTTCAAAATTTGGCATAACAAAGGGCTGACACCAAAATTAGCATTTTCCATGGGGATCTACCATGATAGAGACTGCCCATTCTGTGAGGCCAGAGAAATTAATGTTTCTCACTATTTGTTGTGCCAACATTTTAGCCAATTGTGGCATTACATTTTTAAAATTTTAAAATTGAAGTTGGACGCCCGAACGTTAAGTTCAGTCCAACGTGGCTCTGGCGATCCCGCACAAGATGTCCTAGTATTTTATGGTATTTGCACCATATACACTAATATTTTAAACAATTTTACGGGACTTTGACTTTGTGAAACAGTTTAAACACAAGGTTTTCGGTCGACTTTTGACCGATTACCATGTGGCACTTTTTAATGGACCAAAGGAAGATTATTTTTTCCACAAAAAGTGGAGAAAATTTTAGTCTTTACAAAATAGTCGATAGAAGAATTCATATTACTCTTTAATTCTTTAAATTTTTACAATATTTTATACATATAAGATCCCACAAGTTTTGAAGAAGCTTCCCAATTAACATTTTATGTCTGGCCCTTGTGTGGGCCACACTTCCGTCGAAAGTCGGGCCCAAGTACAGTTTTGAAATCGAGGGAATGACCAGTGGCGTACTTGCAATCCTGACTTCAGCCTGCAATGGTTCAGACGTGGCCCTGATTTGAGCCATACCTTGTACTAACTGGGGTCCATAGCTCAAACAGCCATGGCCCTTGTGTTGATTCCAAGTATGGTTCAAGTCTGGTGCACCATATCGGAGGGGCTTACATGAGCCTGACTTGGGCCGAACTTATAATTTCATGCAGGGACCATTGATGCAAATACAGTGATGTGCCACACATTACTATTTTATAATTTGATTGATAATTTTTTTTAATTGTCATTAAAATTGAAATTACACTTTTATTTATAATAATGGCATACATACATACTCATTGTTAAATAACATTAAATAACCCTTGCTAATGATAGAATTACATTCAAATTCTCCAGAAATTATATTAAGATTGTTAACAATGAACGAATTTAACTTATGGCTACTGACCGGATACAAATAAGCATCACGCTTCTTTAAATACCTTTTACCCAAAAACTTGTTATTCTCCATAAAACATTCAATTTCAACAATTTCCCCAGATGAGAGAAATGCTACATTATTACCCTTTTTTAAGGAAAACTGTTTTCCAGCGAAAACCCGTATATTTTTCAATTTTAAATTCTCATCGTTTGCAGAATCGAAAATGTTTCTTTCTTCAATACGATTGATAGCTTGTTCTAATGGCAAATTTTTTGCCCGTAATAGCCTCTTTAAAATTTGCAGGTAATTTTCAAAGGGAAATGCACTCACATTGTCAAGTTGTCCATAAATTAAAGCATCGTCCGGTATATGAATTACAGAGTGCATGTTATATGTTAAATAGTCTTCGCCATATAAAGTGATTATCTTAGAAACAAATTCCCTTAGAAGTTTTCTCGAAAATTCGACCCATTCTATAGAACTTGCAAGATTGGACAAAAATATTCGCTTGCTACAATGCAAGAGCATGAAATGGTCACAGAGGTTTGACGGCAACAAATTTTTTAAGCATACGGGCCTGTGCATAGCAAAAATTGACGCAGCTCCGTTGCCTTGTAATGGTCAATTTCTCTTATGCATCTCGGTTTTCTACAAAATTCGGACGGAGTAAAAAAAAGATATATTTCTTAAATTTGTACTAATCTGATTAATACTGCTGCAGCTTAATTTGATTCGCTTGTGGAGAGGACTACGAAGCCAACTGAAAATTAATTTTCTCATAATTCCAAGACACACCAGATGCATATAATCTAGGGGCACTTGGCTAATCAAAACTAATTTTTTGATTTGTGTATTCCCAGCTTATAGGAAGCTACTGTGTGAAATTCATTCTCAAAAATAAATCCCAAGTATTAGCATCAGCTAGCAAGAGAAATTTCTAAAATATCGGTGTCGGAACGCTCCGATTTAGGACAGAAGACTGAAACAACGACGCTGACATACGTTAGGAAGTTTAGGAACACATTTTATAAATATTTAATTATCCAATAATTAGGAGTTATTTAGGTGTCCTCAGCTAACGAAAATATTATATGTGAATAAAATTTCTTATAATCTTTATTTCCTTGATTTCGAAAATATTGAGAAATTATTTCTTGTTGGAAAATTTATATGTAAAATAAATTTCCCAAAAACAATAAATATTTAAATTATACATTCCAATAAATGAAGCACTAAAAGTTTGTACTATATCAAAGAAGTTGAGCAACAGTTCCCAATGTGGTATTTGTGCACCACAATACGACGCAAATCCAAGTCAATTTTTTAAACCATTTTGTGACCTATACTACAATCTAATAACTCCTGTCTAATTTTGGTCTCATCGGAGAACAAAACTTTTTTCCGGTCTTCCAATCGTATTTTGCAGTTTAAATTTAATATGATAGTCAAAAATGAGTTCCGTTCTTTTTTTCCATAAAACCCACAATATAAATATGCACCTACAAAAATTTAATGCTATCCAGTCGCTTTTAAGTGTGCGTAACTTATTGATGAATAAATTCTAAATTATTAAACAAATCTATTTCACAATCCGCTCGTCATTACTCCATGCATGCCAAGAATATGATATAAATAAATAAACAAAAGTTTTGGCTTACAAAAAAATTTTTATACAGAATTTGTGCGGCATAACGACGACAAAATTTGATATTTTCCAATATCAAAGTAATCTTATGGATGGATATTTCTTGGTATTTTTAGTGTTTGATTAAAAATCTCCAAAGCTCAAGGCAGGACGACAGATCAAAATGGAAAATAAACTGTGTTCATTTTGTCCTTAGCGATTAATAATTGAATAAGTCGATTATATCCGGTATGGAATTGAAATTTAATGTTATGTTCAACACCTCTAATTGGAATTACTTATTACGAGTAAAATTTCAAATTTAGATTTTGTCTTAAAATTTATAACTAGATGTGGTAGAATTTAACAGGATTTTCTCAAGGCAAAGCAGTCGTGGTCGTGCTGGTTGTTGTAGCCTTAGTGGTGGTACACTTCCAAGTATTCTTCGCCGGTCGTGGTCTTCGGGTTGGTCGTGTCGTTGAGGTGGTGGTAGCCGATGTGGTCGTGGTCGTCGGGGCCTGGCAAACGCAAGATTTCGAATATCCGTCCGGTTTGGTAGTTAGAATTGTTTCCCCAGCAGTTCTGCAGAGTCCTGAATAAAAAACAAACAAAAAATAATGTTTTATCAATAATTCTTAATGAATTGGATTACGTCCGTCCTTCGCATCGTCTTCTCCACTGTGTGCGAAACTGTCTGCTACAAGAGCAAGGACACAAATGGCAAGTCCAACGGCAATAATTGTCTTCATGATGAACGTATTTTAGTTGCTTCTGCTTTGGGGAGATTGGAAGGTTCTGAGGTGATGACAGGGATAGAAATTGAGCTTACTTTTATATAAAATTTTAAACTTGAAAGTAAAGCTGGGATAAAATTTATTAACGATTAGCGCATTACAAAAATTTGTATGTATACATCTGTTTGTCTGTGGTTTTACTAAATGGCAAAAATTGGCAGGGTGACATAATTTGTGGACATTTGCGGCCAAACATATTTATTTTTGTATCAGTTGATTAAGAGTAATTTTAAATTGGGATAGTTGAGATCCTGTAATAAATTAAAAGGTATTACGTCTTTATTTTTTGGGACAATAAGTTATTATTTTAAGACAAAATTCACAGGTACATACATTATTTAAAATAAATTAAAATGGTGAAGTTAAATGGAATTGTGTGGTCAAAACACATGTTAAACTACAACTTACGTCAGTTATTTTTATTAAAGGTCTGTCAAATTATGTATATCCTTGTGGAGTAGTAGATTCGAAGTATAAAATATTATGAAACAAATTTATAATGAGAATCTTTTAAATTTATGTATATTATATAAGTAGATTATCCCGGATATCTGGGAAAGCAGACATGTTTCAATAAGTATCAACAACTTTAGATAAGTGATATCCATGGTTACAATGAAGAAATTTATTTTGCTATGCAAATTGCATTGTTAATTCTTTTTGTTTGTTAAATTCTGATGGCATTCATTTTAATCGTTTCACCAGCCATAGTTGCATACACTGCAAATAATTAGGTGTTAATTCAACACTTGCCATGTAAAATTTTTTTCATCATTTTTCATCATTTTTTCATATATGTTTACACCGATTGGTTGCATTACCACCCCACTGGTGTAAATATTAACACCAGTGCAAAATGTAACTCAGATTTGGTGAAAGTTTGTCACCATTTAGTTCAATTTCATATTGATTGACACCAATGAAGGAGAGCAGTGTTTCTTTAAATCCACCTTTTTTGATAAAATCCGGGCCAGTGGATTTATACGGATTTAATGGATTTAAACGGATTTATTCAATTTTGGGGCATTTTGAGTTGCCGTCACATTTGAATAACTACCACCTTTACCACTGAAGTTGAAAGTTCCACCAATTCCACCAAAAAAATAAATTACTGACTTAAGAAATTAATTTGAGAAATTAAACTAATAATTGTTCATCGTCAATAATAATCGAAGTAATCAGGATGGCAAAGATACTGTTAAGTGACGATGATATTACCAAATTATTAGGTATGAATTGAATTGCCACTTATTTATTATAAAATCAAAATATTTAGCTGAAAAACATTTCTATTTTAGACTCACAGTCCCAAAGTCAAGACGAAGATGTCCAGCCTACCGGGGATAGTTTTGTTCTTGAACTTGCAAATGCCGACGGAAAATCATTGACAGCAAATTTAATTCAAAACAATTCGAGTTTGCTCCATAACCTTTAAGTTCTTTGTATATTCATAATTTGTTGTACTTTCGTAACTTTATGTATATTGATGTCAACAATGGGGAGATTGGGGTCGACATAAGTCCCGGTAGTGAAGGCGGAATAGCTTCGTCCTGTCACAGTTCAGAAGTAAGTACGCACAAGTGTAATATGATACAAGTATGTAAGGGGATTGGACATTAATTTCCTAAATTTTCCAAATTTTAATCTCTTGACAAAATACACAAATAACTTGACGCATTTGAAGAAAAGAAGAAAAAAATGAATCATCGCATGACCTTGTGAAATTTTTCGAAGTTCGCACGTTTCAGTTTTGAGGTCCGGTCACAACCATAAAAAACGGAAATATACAGAATAATATAAACTGCATACTAAATAATTCGCGAAGTTCTTTATTACCTGCGGTGACGATATCTGACTCTGCCAGAAATGGTAGAAATCCACCACTGTGGCGGTGGTAGATTTTAGTGGTGGTGGCGCTATTTTGTTTACTTTTGTGATAGTGCACTTATAATCGCAGCCATAACAATAGTGCCACCACCTCTGCAGTAGTGAACTTCTACTATTTCCAGTAGAGTCAGATATCGTTACCACTGGTAATAAAACTATTTAGAGTGTAAAATTCGTAAAACTCGTAAATTAGTGGCCGAATGGCTGCAACCGTGTCGATTTCCATACTTATTACATTTCATGTCCAAAATCTCACACACAAATTCCATGTCAATCCCAATTAAGCATACTTAACTATCATTACTATATCACAAGCTAAAGTCGTGTAAATCTACGGCATATGCAATAACAATGTGTTAATCTTTTATTATAAACTATATACTTTCAAGCTATAAAAGTATATACATATGTAATCATTTTTTTATAAGGCGATAATATGTACAAATTTGCGTGCTCTAAATTTGCATTGTAGATAAGCACGCTTATTAGGTTGCATGGCGAATGAATGTTAGGTTAGTGGTGGTCGCATGAGCAAGTGTTAAAGTCACCATCGTTGAGCATTTGAGCTGAATTTATATTTCTATTTGTACCGTTGACGGAAGGGGCATGCCGTACTCGCACCTTGAGCCGCTTATCACCAAGACCAAAAAATGGTTGGATCTAACCTGCACATTCACTCGCTCCGGACGTTATTTTAACGTGATTGCTTTATAATATTATATTTCATGTAACAAATTACCGTGGTGCCGCAGGCACCACAAAAGTGCCTAGTGTTCTACGTAATACAGATGTACAAGGTTGTAAAATGATGTGCGATTAATAATTCGTTGTTGTCTGTCTGCGCATCAACCAAGTATTGTGTCAATGTATGTCTACAAAGATTTAAGGTGATTCCGTAAATAAATTGAATTCCTTAGCACACCTTATAATAAACAGTTTAATATGCCCAACCCTTATTTTTTTACCTTGATTGGAACCTGTCTGTGATTCACCAATACTGTTGCCCATACTGCAGAATGACAAAATGATTGAAAAGAATTTGTTGACGTGAAGGGCATGCTATTAATTACGACATCATGATCCATCACTGGATAACCGAGAGGTATATGATAAGACGGTAAAGGAATGTATGGATTGTACAAGCTCATAGTGATGAGTTTATCTAAATCCTAGTCTCATCATGTATATGATCAGACGCTATAAAAAGTTTTATGATTCTCAAATTGGTTGCAAATGCAGAAAAGTACATATTAGTTTTAAAATTTATTGCGCCCAAAACAGTTACTTTGTCGGGAAAGTAATCAGGCAAGCTGGTGATGGTTAGGTTGGATTCTACACATAAAGCGTGACAAGCTTTATTTTACAGACGACTTTACAGGGCAAACTAAATATTAAAATCAAGGTCATGGCAATCTATGCTCTCAACGAGGAACTAATCAAGGACAAGTATATGTCACTATGTGGTGGTAACTTAAGTTGTGGATTGACACGAGAAATGTTCTTAGGACTTTTTGAACCTGAAACGGTAAATAATTAAATAATCACCAAAGAGTAACAACGACAATTATGGTGTACTGATGCATATTTATTGGAGGAAGGCTATTTGAAATGATATGCAACAAAGAGGAAAGAATTTCCTACAGCGAGTTTTTAGCGTTCATACGGGTGTATGGTGACGAAAGTAAAGAAAGAAAGGTTAACCTTCTCTTTCATCTGTACAATGTCAAGGGAGATGGGATACTTAGTAGGAAAGAGGCCATGACAATGCTAAGACTCAGCTTGGCAAGAAGCGAAATAATGCTGAATCCTGAAGAGCGTGAAAACATCCTTGGTTATTAGCAAATATTTGGTTGAGATGGGAACTTATGGGAAATAATTTGAACTAACATTTGTTGATAGACGAGTTAGCCTCGATTTTAACGGAGCAAGCATTTAGTCGGTATCGCGGTGATGGCGTTCTTAACAATACAGATGGAATATTGAGAAAGGATTTCTATCACATTTTGGATGGTCGAAATGAGGATTTGCTACACAATTTGTCAATTTGGTAATACAATTTTGTAAGTAAGACAGCAGTGGCCAAATAAAATATTTATAAAAAATCTTATTGCAGTGGTTTCGAGTGGCTAAGAGAGCTTGATCGTAAAGACAATAATGAAAATAAAGGAGTCCCTAATGAAGAAAATAAGTCGAAAAAGAAGGCATCTAAGTTTAAAAAGTATTACAAATGGGTTTCAAATAATACAGCGTTTTTTCTGTGGCCTTGGTTGTACTGGATTGCAAATATTGTATTGGTTGTTGGTGGTACTGCGTTGTATCTCAAATTTAATACTACTACATTTTGGCACGCGGCGAGGAGACCGACTGGTTCGTGTTTTTGTCGAAAAATAAAGTCTTGTGTTAGTAATTTATAGTATTGTTGGCTAAAAATTGTTATAGGTTTTGGGCTGGAGTTTAATAGCGGCGTGATGTTATTTACAATGATGCGTCACATGCACCCAGCATTAAAGTCGAAGCACTGGTTGGGAGCCTGGATTCCGTTTGATGATCACCGGTATTTTCATATCATGGCGGGAAAAGTGAAGGTTTGCCTAGCTTTTGGACACACTGCGGCTCATCTTTTTCACCTGAGTGAGTTGCGTTTATTATAGGAAATATTTTGGATTTACCGTAGTTTTTGTTTTTTAGAGGTCCACCTCGGTACACAAAATGTATGGACGTTAAGCGATTACTTATTTGTGATGGATGCGTCAATGGTATTTGGTCTGGTACCTGGCTTATCTTACCTTACCTCTCTTACTGCTCTTGCTCATTATATTCTTTTTTGCTCTAAAATACGTTAGGAGGTAAAGTGGAGGTCATAAGGTAAGTGTGACGAAATAATTAGAAAAAACATTGAAATTGTGTCAATCTATGTTATATCATCTATTTTGTATAGGTATTTTATATTACCCATATAATTGGGCACCCAATCTACCTTGTGATGGCAGTTTTGCATGTCAAAAACATTTGGAAATGGGTGGTCGTGCCAATAATAATGTTTACGATTGAGCATGTAAATTAATACAGTAAAGGGGGCTTTTCGAATAAGGAAATTAATTAGATCTATATATTCTTCTTAGATGATTCGGTTGCACAAGAGCTATTTTACCGACTTCACGACTATCGGAGTTGTTGAATTATTGCCGACTCGTGTCATTAAGCTTGTCCTTAAAAAACCAAATGGTTTTAAATTCCGGCCAGGAGACTATATCTTGATAAAAATCCCATTCTTTAGTTTGTTTGAATGGCACCCATTTACAATCAGTAGTCCACCAGAGAATAATGATAGGTATGAGCCAAATTACGTGGTTTCAAAGATTTTGGAATGATGAAGCCTTGTATAAAAAATTGTATTTATCTTGTTTGTTTGTAGATAACATCACTTTACATATTCAAACAGTTGGTTCATGGAGACAAAAGATTCACGACTATTGTGCAAAGGAGAGCAAGAAATGTGCAGCATCTGACGCTAGCAGTAACAGCCTTCAGAGTCATCAGAAAGATGACAGTTCCCACCAACATTTAACTTTGACGAAAAATTTGTATGATTTACTCCTTTGGTGGACTTATTTTTAAACTGGTACAATATTGTTGAAATGCTTACTAGACAACTTCCCAGACCTAGTCGCAGTCCGCCAGTGTGGACCATAGACGAATTTGACATTCACCAAATTAACAAAGCACCAGAGATTAAATCTACTGTTATTTTAATTGCGGAATCTTTAAAGGTAGCTTTGAAAGAATGATTATGAATTCTGCTGCAAAAGTAAATGTCAATCTACTTGCTTCACGTGCTAATTGATGGACCGTACAGCTCAGCGTCCGGGAACATATTTGAAGCAGAGCATGCTGTTCTTATTGCTACAGGAATTGGACTTACCCCATTTGCTTCGATTTTGCAATCACTAATGCATCACCACACCCGCGAGCATGCAAATAAATCAAAATCGTTAAAGAAAATAGACTTCATTTGGCTCAACAGAGGACACAATTGCTTTCATTGGTTTCCTGATATGCTTGAAGAGTCGGAAGAACAGGATTTAACTAGCTGTGATTCTCCTGATTATAGGTTTCTGGATATCAGTATTTACAATACCAAAGCTGTTGGACAGGGCGATATGACAACCGTCATGCTTCAACTCGCTTTTAATTTGTATTATGAGAAGGTATTAAACATTTATGTGAACGCAGTTATTTTGAATTTTAAAATGTATGGTTCTTTGTAGACGAAGCGAGATTATCTGTCAAAGTAAAGATCTCGAATGAAGAGGGGTCGTCCACAGTGGGAAGAGGTAGTTTATATTTATTAGGACTACTTTCATTTTTAGTGTGGAACATGACGTCTTTTGTTATTTCGAGGTTTTCAACCATCTTGATCAAACAAAGCGGGGCAAGGTGACCATATTCTATTGCGGGTAAGTTTGCGAAAACTTATAAGTTACGAAGATGAAATTAGTGTTAACATTTTTGTATTTTAGGCCATCAGTGCTTGGTAAGAAGCTTAGTTCTATGTGCCTTAGATATGGATTTCATTTTCAAAAAGAAATATTTTAAGTACATTATAAAAACAGTAAATTATCAGTCATGCCAATCATGTATGTGCATAACGACAATAAACATAATTTTATATTTTTAAAAATATGGACAGTGGGTCTAAATAAAGCAACTTCTGCCTAATTTAAGGGATTACAATTAAGTTGCGAGTCGATTTTTAAGTTAATATTGATTTATTAGTTTAAACCAATGAACAATTAAACATAAAAAAATGTTAACATGTAAATTACAATAAATTCTGTAGTATGATCCAGAGGTCAACGCCGCCGATCTCGCGCCGCCGAGCCGCCAGACGCCGACCGTATTTTCCACGCCGCCGCCGCCGATACATCTAATTCCCTATTCCTTTAACATTGAGACGCCCCGCCGCGCCGCGCCGCCGCGCCGAAAAGTCCCTAAAATTGGCGCCGCCGCCGCCGCCAAATTGGTCGGCGTTGACCTCTGGTATGATCTTCTTCGGTAAATGAGGATATCATTGAGTCGAGTATTTATTTTATTTGCGAGCTATCAATTACATACAGTATGAGATAAGGTCTACGTAACTCAAAGGGTACCCTGCCGACTACATCTAAATATGCAACCTTCGACTCACCAATACCCTTATTAATTACCAGACCATGATTCCAGTTCCTTGTCCCTATTTGAAGATGGTCGACATCCTTCCGTGCGGTGGGAGTGGTCGTGATGATGATGATGATGGTTTATTAGTGATGGTGGTGTGGATGAGAAATAAAGTGTGAGTGGAGACTTGGCAACTTATTTTAGAGGAGCACATTTATTTCGGACTGCACTCGTCAGTCGCTACTCCAAGACTGACTCTCTCTCCGATCTCCGCTCTCTCACTTACAATACTTATTCCTTTCTCTCGACTTTTCTAGAACATTCTCTCTCTCTATATGTATTACATGGCTATATATATATTACGGTAGTGGTATGCCTATACGTATACATATGTACATATTTAAGAAGGACCAAGTCCTGATAACAGTTAATCTTCATCAGGCAAAAACTTATATTATATAAGTTTTTATAATATAATAATATTTATTAAATATTATTATACATATGTAAATATTATATACTAGCCCATAAGCCCGTCTTAAAGACGGGCCGCGTTGAAAATGGGCGACCATTTTGCTAAGTAATTTTTTTAACGTTGCTAGGGAATTTTTTTAACGTTGCTAGGGAATTTTTTTAAGGTTGCTAGGGAATTTTTTGTAAGGTTGCTAGGGAATTTTTGGTAAGGTTGCTAAGGAATTTTTTAAGGTTGCTAAGGAATTTTTGGTAAGGTTGCTAAGGAATTTTTTAACGTTGCTAGGGAATTTTTTTAAGGTTGCTAGGGAACTTTTTGTAAGGTTGCTAGGGAACTTTTTGTAAGGTTGCTAGGCAATTTTTGGTAAGGTTGCTAAGGAATTTTTTAAGGTTGCTAAGGAATTTTTTTAGTGTTGCTAAGGTATTTTTTGTAAGGTTGCTAGGGAATTTTTGGTAAGGTTGCTAAGGAATTTTTTAAGGTTGCTAAGGAATTTTTGGTAAGGTTGCTAAGGAATTTTTTAACGTTGCTAGGAAACTTTTTGTAAGGTTGCTAGGCAATTTTTGGTAAGGTTGCTAAGGAATTTTTTAAGGTTGCTAAGGAATTTTTTTAGTGTTGCTAAGGTATTTTCTGTAAGGTTGCTAGGCAATTTTTGGTAAGGTTGCTGAGGAATTTTTTAAGGTTGCTAAGGAATTATTTGAACGTTTCTAAGGAATATTTTTAACATTGCTAAGGAATTTTTTAACGTTGCTAAGGAATTTTCTTGACGTTGCTAAGGAGTTTTTTAACGTTTCTAGGGAATTTTAAAGGTTGCTGGGGAATTTTTTGTAATGTTGCTAGGGAATTTTTTGTAAGGTTGCTAGGCAATTTTTGGTAAGGTTGCTAAGGAATTTTTGTAACGTTTCTAAGGAATGTTTTTAACGTTGCTAAGGAATTTGTTAAGGTTGCTAAGGAATTTTTTTAGTGTTGCTAAGGAATTTTTTTTGATGTTGCTAAGGAATTTTCTTGACGTTGCTAAGGAGTTTTTTAACGTTTCTAGGGAATTTTTTTAACGTTGCTAAGGAATTTTCTTGACGTTGCTAAGGAGTTTTTTAACGTTTCTAGGGAATTTTTTTAACGTTTCTAAGGAATGTTTTTAACATTGCTAAGGAATTTTTCTTGACGTTGCTAAGGAGTTTTTTAACGTTGCTAGGGAATTTTTTTAAGGTTGCTAGGGAATTTTTTGTAAGGTTGCTAGGCAATTTTTGGTAAGGTTGCTAAGGAATGTTTTTAACGTTGCTAAGGAATTTCTTAAGGTTGGTAAGGAATTTTTTTAGTGTTGCTAAGGAATTTTTTAGTGTTGCTAAGGAATTTTTTTAACGCAGCTAACGCATTTTTTAATCAATAAATACTTATCAATAGCACTACGTGAGTAAGTAAGGTCAGAAAGTGCTAAAACTCGACCCTCCCAGTCCGGTAATATTTCCTTGGGAACCATGTCAGTTACACTCTTGAAACTTGGATGAGCACAATTTTACAGGTCAGAGCTTCTAATATTTGCAAAAATGATTTAAAAATTCCAGCTGGGTCGCGCAATATGGGGCGCCAAAATCGGGTAAAACAGAATGGCTCAGCGATAGTATTTCTCCTTCAACTATGCACTTATTTTTTTCCTTTTATTTTCCGAGGTCGGCATAAGCATTGGACAAAAAAAAACAATTATATTTTGACTATCACAGAAGTGAAATATTTCGCGTTTTCAATGTATTTTGTGAAATATTCTAAAATATTTCCTAATGTGTGTTTCCTAATGATGATTTCGTATTTTTCATAAATGTTTTTTTATTAACCTGGAAATTATGTATTTAACTCTATTAAAATTATAAAATATATAATTATGTATGTATGAATGTAAAATAAAACATTTGTTTAATATCCTTATCGGGCACATCACTGCTGAGCACACTGGCCCATGCCATCGTCATCATCTTCTTCCATTAAATTATCGTCAGATTCATCAGTTGAGCCATCGTTAGAATCCATCTCGTCTTCCTCCGCATTAGAAGAATCGTCACTTTCAACGGAATAATTATTGTCTTCCCTTTCCTGCAAAATGTCGAGGTCTCCGTGTTCCTCCCGCACGACGAACTCATTGAAATTCGAAATTCGAAATTCTTCGTTCGGCTCACCATCATCTCTCAGCAGGTGCCAATCCCCACGTCTGGTAAGGACAAATCTTTCTTGATCAATGTTCGCATTGGGAAATCCTATGCTAAGCTTTTGCATAAATAATGTGTATGCAGGATCCTTCCCAGATCTCCCAATTTCCGGGAGTATAATTGTTTTCACGGTAAGGCAAGGTTCCTCTTTCGGAGGTAAAAAGGGGACGAAAGACCTGAAATGGTTCATTTAAGGAAATTAAGAAAGTGATTGATTTAAACGGGAACTATGTAAGGTAGCTCACTCATTCTCAGCCAAACTCAAAGGATACTTGTATTTCAAAAACTTCTTTTCACGATCAAAAATGATGGTTTCCAAAGCGGGGAAGGAAACCCCGATCTTCAGGACCCTCAATTTTGGACAGATGGGATAACCAGTAGTGCGGAAAAAGTTGGCAGGATTCTGAACTCCTAAAGTTAAATGCTCTAAAGTTTCTGAATGTTTCTGTACCAGGTTGAACAATAATTTTGGCGTTCTAGAATTCCCCAAAGGAACAGAGGCATTTGTAATTTCAAGTTTTCTGTAATCAGAAAAAAATTCTTGTTAATTTCGGCTAAAATTATATTCTGCTATTAATCATGGCATTGGACACTATTTTTTAAACAGCTCAGAAACCCTACATACCTCAACTTCTTTTTAAAATTCACTTTCGCAAGTCCCTTAATTAACGAGTCGGGATCCAGAGAAGAGGTGCTTATATTCGTGATCGAGAACGAATCCACGTTTGCCATCATATCCCCATACTTTTACAGTGTTTTGAAGAAAATTGCATTAAAGTTTGTTAGCCGTGCTCCAGTGAATTTTATCCCCTCCAATTTGGGAAACATGAGTAAAATATTTAAAATAAGCTGGGTATATTTCGTCTCGAGTGACATGCCTTGCCCTCTCCCAACTATTAAATCTCTCTCCTCGTACTTGAAGCTTAACTGCTTGACGGATAACAGTTTTAAATCCTTGGTAAACTTTACTGTAGTCGCCCACTCTTCCGAATTAAGTGATGAAGTAATCTCGAGCGAGAGAAAATTCAGGTTTTCCAATTTCGGAAGTATGCTAAAATAAGAATTAATTGTGCAACAATTTAAGTCAAGAACTGTTGTTATTTTTTAACCACACAACAAACTTACCCCATGAAAACGCTCCACAAATCCGCTTTCAGAATTAGCTGTAGTGTTTTCACGGTTTTTCCATAAGTTTGGAAACACCACGTCAAATTTTGCAAATATTTTGTGCGTTCGTAATCCCACATTGTTCCTTCTATCGACTCCCAATCATCCATTCCTGCCTTTATACACTTTGGGATTGGATTGAGATCCAAGGTTACATTTTGAATTTGCAATATTTCTTGAAATGCTTTTAAGGTTGGCCAATGAGGGCACGCTACGCCAGGAATGTCGAAATGTCCCAGACTACAGAAGAATCTGTTGCTTTCTTTTCTCCACTGTTTGCAAACTTGGCGAGCCTTCTTCAAAGCAGGGAGAGAGAGATGGCTAAGGATTTTCGAAAGTATCTGCAATAAATTATCCAAATTACTTAATTATTCGAAATCTCCAGTTAAGACCTCAGTTAGCTCAGGCCAGCAATTAACTATCTATTAAATTGCCCAATTCCAAGTTATAAATTTAACAGTTTTTAATGAAATTTTTATATACACATTTGTAATAAATTTGTGTATTTAAAAAAAATTCGCCACACCAGGTAAAATTATACATTTCTTTTAAGCCTTACGATTGGATTCTGAATCACACTGAGAATAAGAAATTACGAAATATCGCAAATATCCACTTCCTTTTCTTCTTGTCCTGTTGACGGTTTAACATTTGCAATTCCATTGTTTTTTGCAAGTAGGCCGGATGCCCCCTAAAAAAATATAAGTTTGAAATATTATTATAAATCTTGATTCCAGAATATCATTAAACTTTTCCACATACGAAGTACTTAAACATCGAATCCGGAATTGGCCTCCTTTCGCGTTCCCATTGTTTGAACCATGGATCGCGATGGTCTTTTGGGAATGAAATTATGTCCTCATTTGCCAGCCTCCTTTCCTCCCCCTCCATCAATTTCACGCCGTTCACAAATGTTCCCGTGAAACTCTGTGGAAGAAGGATGATTTTAATTTTATAAATTCTCCCTCCATTATTTTCCTCTGGTACTCGTTATATAGTCACCTGCAAATCCTTGACGAAATAGCGTTCCGAATCCTTCAGCCAAATTTCCGCGTGTGGGTTCATTACCATGGCGATATTGTTATCCGACACTTTCACCTTGAGTAAGTTCGCCCTTCCGTGTGAGCAGCAGGCGTCGCGATGAAATTGAGTGGTTACTAAGAGCTGCAAAAAAATTAATTAATTAACAATTTATTGACGACAGTTTTTCTAAGTACTTACCGGCTTATCAGTTGGTAGGACCTGCTCGCTAATTTTTTCCCATCTGCCACCCACGAATTTGTGCTGCCATAATTTCGCAGGTACGGAAAATTGATCCGCATTAATCTCTTTGTCCTTCGACACTCCCCTATTTTTAGAAACTTTGGAATGCATAATTATAATGTTGATGACTAAAACAGTTAATTTTTGTGAAAAAATCTGTGTGCTTTTACTTAATTAATTAATTATGTTTAGTATATAATGTTAAACATATGAGTTGTTGGCAGTCTTGTTTTTTTTCCGTTGGGCATAGGGACCCGCGTCCTCGTTCGCTCCACCTTTCTCCTCACCACCACCATCTCAACGTTCCACTCTATGTATGAAGTTCCATGTAAATTTCCATGCAAGCATCTTCTCTATGAAAAATGCATTATGTACAATACAAACCAGTCAAGTTAAAAAATGCATAGGTTACAAACTGTTACAAAATATGTAATTCATAATGTTGACTATGCATCATATCTATGTACTTAAAATGAGGTTAAGTGAAGTGTAATTTTTAAAATTTGGACGCGACTAAATTCATTTTCGTAAATAAATTTAGCTATAACTGAAGTGACGATCAGTTGTCTGCAGGGTCACATGTACCGCATATGTGATTAATATAAACTATTGATTTTCAATTTGTAAGTTTTATTTTAATTCTCCGTTACTAATTTGTCAATCTCTGTGGAGAAGAGTGCCGAGGCGGAGTGGCGATCGTGCTTCCCTGCTAACCGGCCATCTGAGTGGGCTGAATGGAGGTGCTGGGTTCAATTCCCAGTGCCGGCATTGGGTTTTTTCTCGTTTTTCCCCCTTTGCCAAGCTCAGATACTCTTCTCCCTCCCTGGGTAATGGCCCGTTAGCGGGGTCCAGTGGTTGTACTAAGCCCTTTTTTTTTTAACCTTTTCCTTCGGAATGAAGGATATATCCGTCCTAAAATATTTTGCGTTGCTCCGGAAGGATGGAAATATCCTTCATAAAAAATTAGGTTATTGCGGACCGGAGGATATTTCCATCCTAATTTTTAAGGCGTTGCGACGGAGCAACGGATTTATCCGTTGTCTCATAATTCGGCATAGTTACGGAAGGAAGGAAATATCCGTTCTTCCGGTCATTGACTTTACTGCGGAGTGAAGGATATTTCCTCTCATTGGAAAAATAGTTTTTCCACGGAAGCGACGATATTTCGGTTTCTTCACAAATCCGAAATTTGAGCCCGAGCCAAAATTTAAATATGTACCCAATTTTCGCAATATCTCTGTCTGTCTGGTTATCGAAAACTTTCGTACATTTTATCCCATTGGCTTTAAATTTTGTACTTCAAATATGCAAAATGTAAGTTCAAATTCGAAGATGGGCGAAATTAGTCCACTGATTGATCGGTGGGGGTTATATATAAGGTTGGAACATTATGCGGCCAAATTTCCAAACGTGCTAGAAAGCTGAAATTTTGCATGAATTTTGTAGGTAGCTACATTTTGCTTAGAAGTATGGAGTGAATATAGAAAACCATCATAAGGATATGGGGCGACCCATACCGATTTCTAAAAGTCGTCCAATCGAGTTGTAACTTGGTATGCGGATCGCTTACCATTGTAGGCAAGTAAGGTAAATCCGAATTTCTAAAAATTTCAACCCCAGAAACTCAAGAGGGTGACCCACACCAATTACTAAAAGTTGTTTGATTTAGGAGGGGTGCTTTAGAATTTTGAATTTTTCCGACCAGGGGTGTGGCTCGAAAATTTTTACAATTTCAAAAAAGTTGAGATAGCTATTGGATATGATAGAGCAACTATCTGGGATCACGAAAATGTAAAAAATGTGAAAATCTGAGCAAAATTGGATTTTTGGTGAAGGTTTGAATGAGCAAAAACGGGGCTTTTTTCGCGTTTTTCAGATTTTCAAGGGGGTGTGGCGGGCGCAAATGGGGCCGTGGCATCAAACCGCTTATTGGTTTGAATATACTCCTACAATACTTCAAAATACCAAAATGGTTTTCGATTTGGTGAGTCACATATGTGAAGCACCCCTCCTTAGTTGAAACTCGGTATGATGATTCCACTGGAGGTGTAATCTTGGAATAAACAAATATAGTACACGAATCCAACCATTGACCCACTAATATGACCCCCCACCGGTCCAAATATTTTGATCGAACCCGTATTTGATTCTTCGTCATGTTATAATTGTTCAAAATTTGAAGTAGATAGGATATGTTTTACGAGGGTTGTCGCAATGCGAACGGAAGGACGAGCAACACGGATACATAAGTTCTGGGTCGGGCTAAAATGTTTCCATATTTACGCCATTTTTGTAATGAAATGCTTCCGTGGAAAGGAGCATAAATATTGGAAATATATCCATGGAACGTATAAATAAAATTTAGATTTGTTCCGTAAGAATGCTAAAAAATTACAAAATTCCTACGCCACAAGCTGTGGTTGCGAGGCGTTGCTATTCCGCAGCAACGGGATATTTTAGTGAATTTGTCTACGAAGGAAAAGGTTACATAGGCGGTGCAGGTCGCCTTCAAATTCAAAATTTTCAATATTATACTATATAATTCCTAGTTTCTACTATGATTGGAGCCATCATATTGAATTTCAGCCATGTGAAATACATATTTCCGATTAGTTAGCGTCAAGCTAATGTACCAACCCTAATCCTACAAAACCCCCCACTGGTCAACCACTCGACCTATAATGCCCATCTTCGAAATCGGTGTTATATTGCAAATGTGCACTTTCCACCAAATTTTGTTGAAATCGATCAACGCATTCTCGAGTTATTAAAACACATGCGCACATGATATTGTAATTTTTGTATTCGTTGGCCTGGGACAAATTGGGAACAAAAGTTTGGAACTTAAGATCAGTCGTCACCTTGGTTAGTAATATTTTATATAAGTTCCCCAAAATTTAAATCTTTGCTTTTTTTCAGACAAAAATTTCTGGCGTTGTCAAAACATGAATCCAGGTCTTCTCTCCTATCCCAGGATAGAAGACGAGCAACTAGTCAGAAGTGAAGGAGGAATTGATGAACGTATCGAAAATCTTAACTTATTTATAAATAAATCCGGTAAAATTCAAACCCTGGTCAAAATGGAGGCATTCATCAAGCGGCTGGATGCTAGAAGAAGTACGGCTGGTTGTTGAGATTATTGAAACTTGTAAAAGAAATTTCAAACATACAAAAATGTAATTTGTCTTACCGAATAAAATCATATAGTCTGCTGCATTTTTGTAAAATGGATGAATATTAAATAATGTTAACTTTATTCACATTCAAAGCTTTAGCGACAAGGCGACGTAGAAAACCGGAAATAAAAATTGGATATATATTTAATGATAATTAACTACATACTCTGTAACCCCATATGTCATGACTAATTCCTTTAAATGCATCCGCGCAACATTAATATTCGAGGTAGTCATATAAATGTTGTAGAGTGTAGGACCAACAATTTTTCGATAAAATTGCAAATAAAATTGAGTGTTTTTCCACTTTCTTACACCACTAAACTGCAACATTGCAAAACTCCATTTGTATCTGTGGGAAGAGAAAGTCAAAGGAAAAATAAGGCAACCACAATCAAAACTAAGGATCGAATGAATTGACACTGTCATGCACATAATATGCATGGATGAGCGTCGTACTCAAAACAAAGCCAGTGGGGCAGTCGCCACCACCACCACCAACTCGGACTGTTGAGCATGACCGGCGAGAAATGTCTCGACACTAAATATCAGATGATTAGGCAAATAGTCTGAGATTTAGCAATAAAACCCCCGTCCCAAGAGCGGTTCGGAGCTGATTGACTATACTAAACTTGTACCAGTTACACTAAGAGTCCATAATAAAAACCTCAGTTTTTGCACATTAAAACCCAAGCATTTGTCTCACCTTGCCTCACTTCATTTATCATCCGAAACAAACTTTCCCCAGCCTGGCATACGGCTGCGGAGGTGTGTACTTTCCCCGTGTTCTCTCTTACTCTTTCATCCCACACTCCAGACAACGGGCTAAAGAAAGCGCATAACAACACTACAAAGTATTTATGACCAAAATGGGACGACTTTTCAAGACTTAAGTAGAGCGGAGAAGTTGACCAAAGAAGAATATGCATGGGTCCGGGAAGTAATAATAACTAGGGTATTGGTTGGTGCATGCTAAGCGCTGCATCATTGCGAGATGGGTTTGGACAGACAGACAGATGGACAGAGGTGGGTAAATATATAAGTTCATATAAAATATAATAATATGGTTATCCATCTTTATCTATCTGTTTGTCTGTTAGAACGTATCCCGCAATGCTGGAGAGCTTAGTATTCGAAGGATACTATGTTCGGAGCATTTAAGCGGGATCCAATTGTGCTTTAGTGTTGCTGGCACACCACTTAATAACATTGAAAATTCACTGCTCAAAAAGTATGGCGTGCATATAAAATCGGTCCATGTGAATTACGTAATTTAGTACGAACCGGGTCGAGTTATTCTCGATTCGAGAATCTTGAAGAGGAATGTATTGCAAAATTTAATCTATGCTCCCCAACTTTGGAGCATGTTCGAGATATGTGAAATGTTGTCCTACTGAGAGCCATTTATCCCTGACCTTTGTATGCTAATCACCGCATGATGAGTACCATTGTGAGAATTTTTGGGAGGATGATGTCAGTTATGACTTGGATAGCGATTAAAATTTGTCAGTGAGAATTTTGGCCTATCATGAATGAGGGATGACGCATCCTTGTGCTCTTCCAAAATGAATATTTAGAATATTTAAAATTTAATTATTTACGACCACTCCCCCTTAATAATTGTTATAAATAGTGTCGTATTTTGATCATATATATATTTAAGATAGGCTGATTATGTATTTTTTATAGATATGTCGAAATTTTGTTGCAATTACGACTTTAAAATTCATCGATTCAATAATTAGACATGACTACATATACGCATTACATGACTCGACTAGACAAGACTCGACACGACATGACTCGACTTTGCAGCACAAATGTATATATTCTGTTGCAATAAAATATTTCAATATCTTATCTGTGTGACACAGACTGTGTCAATAAAGGCAATTTCGGCTTATCAGTGTTGGTTGACAGCGGGATTATATTTATTCCACATCATATCTGGAAAAACATATATTCTGCTGCGACTGAATCGATCCCGTACAGTTATTATTTGAGATCGGAGCAATATTCATTGTACTTTTATAATTATGGGACAGTTAATAATTTTGATGACGTTGTGTGCCATAACGTTTCGTGTAAGTCACCAGTTTTCACAAGTTGACCCTAAATTTGTTCCGGCACTACCATGCAACTACTCTGCTTGCTACTTACCCGATTGTCGCTGCAGTTCTGACTTACCTCCAGGAGGGTTATATGGACCTAACCTTCCACAGGTTAGTATACAAGCACATCCTAAATGCAAGTACTCTTTAAAATTAACATGATGCGTAGATGGTGCTATTCACATTCGATGGGGCAATCACACCTACAAACCATCCATTTTTTTACCAAGTTTTCAACAACAGGAGAAACCCAAACGGAGCACCGATGTCGGTCACTTTTTTTGTTACACACGAGTTCACCAACTACTCGTTAGTCCATGATTTATGGGCCAGTGGTACTGTTAATGACTACATTATGTAATCACGTAGTCATGTAATTTACATGACTAGAAAATTAGTTGAAACCCTTACATATTTTTTTCAAAACTTTCATTTTAGGTCACGATATTGCAGCCCATAGTATAACGTACGACCCAAATATGGCATATTGGAGGACGTTGAGCGAGTCTGGGTGGCGGTCTGAAATTGTAGATCAACAGGAGCAAATCGCTCGTTTTGGAAGCCTACCTTCATCACACGTACCCAAATCCATTATAAAAATACAAAATCACTTACTCACCACACACGGTTACTTCCTGAGTTTCGTGTGGTTAATGCCACACTGGACGGGCCGGCGTCCAAAAGCCGGTTTTAACCAGCATTTGGACACTGCGATTTAACAGTCAAAATGGTCAATAGGTTATATAATTAACCAACATTTGACCACTTTTGACCATTTTGACCACTTTTGTCCATTGACCAGTAGTTTTTTTGACGGCTAAAAAGGTTTGGACGTCCAAAAAGAAACCTGCTTACTTTCAGATAAGAGGGATGAGAGCTCCCAACCTTCAAATGGGTGGGAATACCATGTTCACCGCAGTGGGTGGTTCTTTTGAATGGGAAAGCTCGCGACCAACCTTTAACCAAAGGGTGCTTTCACCATTGTAATCCATCATATTTTTAATTTTTCTGGGGAAGCTGTCGGATAAATTTTCCAACACGGTGCGCGAAATATTTTTCCACGTTTTTTGAAATCTTCGAGCTAGGGACACATGATCGCGAGGAATCGGGTCCTCATATGCCGAACTTTTGAGATTAGACCATAGGTTTTCTATAGGGTTCAAATCCGGACTGTTTCCAGCCCAAATACCTTTCCCCCAGGGGGTTAAAGTTGCTCCTTCAAAAATCGCATGGTCACATTTGCAGTATGGGCTGGGACCCCATCCTCCATAAATGTGACTTTGTTCTTATTCGGAAAAAGAGACTTGTTGTCTATAGTTTCGAAATAGATAGGCACTATTTTTTTTTATCGTAATACTCTGACCTTTAAGAATGATATGCACTGTTGCCACTCCTTGAAAAAAATACCTACCAGCAACCATCACTTGGAGTCCTTTTCTTGGTATCCTTGCACCTGGGACTTTGGATCTTTTTTCAGTTATGTACCTGATGTTTGGAGGATTTCCATGTGAGTGGGCGTATATCCTGGTTTCATCGGTGACGAGCATATTTCGACTCCTTTTCCCATCAGTCAAATAACCGATTTCTCCGGCGGTTTATATATATAGGCACCCTGCACGGTGTTAAATTAACACCGGATTATTTGCAGTGTATACAGTTAAAGCAGGGTAAAAAAATTGTGTTATTTTCTACCCTCAAACAACTCTGAGTTTCGCAGCACGTAGATTTCAAATCGAGTTGCATGGTTCTAGGGAGGACAAAAAGTCCTCACATCTTGGGCGAGTGGAGCGTGCACGCGCTCTTACCTACTTTACACGGATTGATGTGAAATTTTAAACTTTGTCCTAGAGATGTGAAATTTGGCATGTACATGCACCAACATATGCTGCATCATAATATAGCATCAATTCCCGTTCCGTTCGCTATAAATTTTTCAGTAAAAATCAAAAACCAAATGTCATCCGGGCTCGAGTGCGGTCGTGACCCTGTACACAGTTAGTGTAGCTCTGCACTCCTCTGCAGAGGCCTATCGCAGGGCTTTAGTTAGCGTGTGGAAGAAATGCATGTGTTGAACGCATCCATTTACATACATAGCAGAGCTCAACCAGCTATCGCAGCCAGAGAGAGAATGGTGAAATACAGAGTTGGTTGGGCTTTTATACCCGCAGCAGTCAATCCTGACTGCTGGCTAAACAAATGTAATCTTAATTCGATAATTGCTTATATGTTAATATATAATTAAATCAAATGATGATGATTCGGGTGGCGTCTGGCCACTCACTAGCCAGTTAATGTCTGTCTCAGTCCTTACACGTATTGTAACCGTGGCCCTGATGTCGAGAGTCCGAACAGCAATACAGTTTCGTATCTAGGTTACTACTGCATCCCTGATTTCCTCTGCTCTGCTCCCTGTATCCGTAAGGACATTGGACCGAGTAGGTAGAGTCGCACAGGGTTTCGATGCACTGCGGGAGGAGGTCTTGACGACAGCACATATTCCGTTCACGACCGCTTGGACAAGCTAAGATTTTTGTAGACAGTAATTTTGAAAATCTTGATAAAGATTGGACAGTTAGCATTTCTACATTTTTAACATTCTTTCAGTACCTCTTGACAGTGGGCAAAATTTACGGAACAAATTTGTAACTTATGTATAACGGGGGGCATAGTCTTTGCATTATTGATATGGATTTTGAAAATTTATTTAGCCCGCCCTCAAGAGCTACGAAGCTTTACGGAAATTCTAAAAGGGTAGAAATGCTGTCTATTATTTATATTTTTTTTATGACAAACTTTTTCTGTCGGTGAACATTTCTGTATAAGATAGCGGACATCTGGCGTATTGTTGACAGTCTGAAAATATGCACCCCTCCGGTGTTCAGCGGGATTGTTGCTGGTCTGAAAAATTAGAACGTACATAAGACCTTAAAAATTGTAAAATTCGTTATTTTTTAAAAATTACTTACCATAAAATCCACCCTGTGACGAGGAGAGTCCATCCCTTCCTGCAAATTGACCATTACCAGAACGACAACAAGTTTTTCGCGACATTCTCCACCCGCACTCGTTCTGTCGTTCCCCTGAGCGAGAGTTCCCCTCTGAGAATCCCGCCGGGCAGGTGGGGTTATCTGCGCCGGTCGTGTTAAAGCTCGTGGGATACTGTCCCTCGGCGCAGCAGTGAAGCTTCTGCTCGTTAGAACCACAGCCAACCGTATCCCGGCTCCATTCCCGGTAGTTATTGGGGCACCTTAAGTTCGCTCCAAACTCACAGGACGTATCGTAGCACGGGGGTAGTTGTCCGGGGCGACAGCAAAGTTTCCGTTCCCGGCCTTGTGTGCAATCTAAAAATATTTAAATGCGGGAATTTTTTTTTGCAATTTTTGAAAATATTTATGGACCAAGTTTTTTTAAATTTCCGTACAACTTTTGTCCGGTGATAGTTCCTGCGAGTGTGTGACGGGGCATCGTGGATACGTGTCACAAATAGTGTACTGACAAGAGTCTCGAAAATCGTGGCTACCTATAAGAAATACTAGGCAAATCTGTATACGTGTATAGGTATTATAGGACGACACTATGAAAAGCTTATACATAATTTTGAAAAAATTAAAAAACAAATTTTTTTTGAAAAATTTGGTAGTAATTAGCTACCATCGTGTTTAAAACAATTTTGGTGTTCAAGTAGGCTATATTCGGTAATAATTTGAGGTGAGAGAGTTTAGGAAATCTTACCCTGGTAATTCTGTTGCTGATTAAAATTTGGATTCTGCGTTGGGTAATTATTATTTTGGGGACAATTTCTGTCGTAATTTTGTTGATTATTTGAAAATGGATTGTTTCTCGGTTGGCTATTAAAGGGATTCTGATTCTGTCGGTTTATATCGTATCCAGATCTGCAACAAGTCCGTGATGGGCGGCGTTTACAGAAATCCAAAACTTTGGGTATCTCGTTGAAAACAAAGGGAGAAAAATGTGAGAGAATTGGAATACACCCAGCGTTGATTTTTAAGCAAAAAACCAAATAATTAACAAGAAACTTGCCATATAAGGCATTTTCACATGCCGAAAGGAGAGAGCGCCAGCAGTGCGCAATCTTAAAGGCCCTGCTCTCTCCCGATGTCGAAAAAACGAGGGATGCGGCGCGAGCGTGACAAAGATGTGGAATCCTTTTTTATTTAAGTACAATCATCCACGTGTGACAACTCTAAATAAATTGGAATTTGAATATTCATTAACAGATCTATCGAACTATGTATTGTATGATACCTACTATTATGAGTTTTTGCTAAGTTTATACATTTTTTTAAAACCTAATTTAATTTACGGGAGTTAGTGACTGAAAAATTGGATCTTTCTTTCTCCTCAGATGGAAAAAGCGTAAATTATAATTAAAAATTCAAATAAAATATTTAAATTGAAATTTAATTTATATTCCAATCGTCAGTTTTAGTTTAGTTATTTGTTTTGAACTCTGTATTAAAATTTTTACCCGTGATTTTATTTATTTATTTTCTCATTTGTACCCAAATTACCTAGAATAGTTCTTTTCCATATCGATTAGAGTGTCAGAAATCAAAGTAATGAATAGCTCCAAGATAAATTTCTTCCTGAAATGATCCTTTGACATTTAATTTGCGGTTGATAATTCGCATGAACATAACCCCAAGACCAAGCAACGATTCCAGATAATGAGTCGTTTCCTCCTGTACAGCCCATATGTTTCCAAACTCCACCACTTCCTACCATGGTGTACATAGCGCAGCATAGTTCGGGAGGGGTAAAGTGACCTTGGTTGATTTCGTAACGAACTATCCCATCAAATGGTTGCATAGTGATTTTCGAGGTACAGTCGAGGAGGAGGATGATGCAAAACAGGTTTCCCCATGGGTGCAAGTGACCAGGAAGGCGAGGTAGACCAGGGCGAGTAGGTAGGTAAGTTTCCTTAAATAGTTGGTCATATCTAAGGAGAAATAAAAGTAGAAATTTTTTTAATTAATTTAAATTAATTAATTAATTTAATTTAATTTAATTAAATAATATTTAATAATAAATAATTAAATCAATAATATGTCATCTCGTCCCCTCACAAAATTTGAAGAACAATTGCTCAATTTAGGACTTAATTTCTAACTACCAGTAAAAAATGTTGGCTACGCAATGTGCGACACTGCGGCTACAATAGAACTTCGCATGATGAATATGGAACTGACTGATAATCAGAAAAATAATATCAGAACCGGAGTAGCGAAGATAATGTCTCAAAATATGCACAAAGAGAAAATAAAACAACGCTGGGAAACATGGATAAAGAATTCCATCAAATCACTGCTAGAAGATGAAACAATCTGTATCACCAAAGCTGACAAAGGAAATTCTGTAGTTATCATGGACAGAAATAAATATATGGAAAAAATGTCAACAATGATTAGAACAGGACCATATACAATTTTAAATCATGACCCAACTCCACTTTATGCCAAACTGGTAGCTGAAAAATGCCAAAGACTCACAGAAATGAAACTTCTGCCAGAAAATTTGCTGGAAAAGAATCCGAGGTCACCAATTATCTATGGAGCCCCAAAAATCCACAAGAAAGATATTCCTCTTCGCCCAATTGTTGACTACAGATGCTCTCCGACGTATAAATTGTCCAAATACCTAGCCAATATTTTAACAAAAGTTGCATCACATCATGAATACACCATCAAAAACTCTACAGAATTTGTTGAAGAACTAAAGAAAAAAAAATCTAGATTTGGTGATAAAAAAGTTTCCTTCGACGTAACATCACTTTTCACGATGGTACCAATTCCAGAGACTCTTGACTACATCAAAGAGAGATTAGAATCATATCCAGACCTTGAAAAATGGACATCTTTACCCATTGATGATATCATGTCACTTTTGAAGTTATGCACATCGTCATCGTATTTCCAGTTTCAAAACAATTACTACAAACAAAACGACGGTACAGCGATGGGATCACCACTTTCTCCAGTCATCGCCGAATTCTTCTTACAAAAATTGGAGTTAACCAAAATCAAAAATAACCGGAGTATTTATTTTTGGAAACGTTATGTGGATGACGTGTTTTGCATAGCTAGAAGCAGAAATCAAGATAAAATCCTGCAAGACATTAATAGTTTTCACCCCTCCATTCAATTCACAGTCGAAGAAGAAATTAACGGAAGACTTCCTTTTCTGGATATAGTAATTTATTCTAAAAATGATTCTTCTTTAGGTCATTTTATACACAGAAAACCAACCCAAACTTGCCAATACCTAAACTTCCGATCATTCCATCCACGAGCGCACAAAATCGGAGTAATCGACACCCTGCTAACTCGAGCCATCAGACTTTCCGATGATGAACACGTGAACGATGAAATTGAGCTGACAAAAATAATTCTAATGAAAAATGAATATCCTCCATCCTTAATCAATGACAGATTAGTAAGAGTGAAGAACAAATGCCTACAAGCTCCTAATAACAAAAAAGATGAAGAAATCAAACCACGTTTCATTCTTCCTTGGGCTGGAGACGTAACATCTAAAATCGCTTCATATTTAAGAAACAAAATGGATGTGGATATTGGCTACCACCCTGGTCCAAAAATAGGATCAATTGTATGCAATGCCAAACAGAAATTTCCAAAACCAAGAGCAGGAGTGTACAGTATACAGTGTAATTCTTGTCCTGCTGTTTATATCGGTGAAACAGAACGAGACTTCATGATTAGGATTGCTGAACATCAAAATGACATCAGAAGAGGAAGCGCAACTTCGCCTGTCGCAATCCATATGTTAGAAAATGACCACCAACTGGACACGAACTCTTTTAAACTCATTGTCCCAGAAAACAGAAAATTCTTCAGAAAGTTTAAAGAAGCTCTGCACATTAAAAACCTACCTAACAAAATTAACATTTCCAACGGACTCAACGTCAACCCAATATGGTGCTCAACACTACTAAATTTTTTATAATTTTACCGTGGCTAAGTAACATAAATTTGTAAATTACTCTTTCCAAAAAACATAATTTGTCAAACGAATGAATGTTTAGATTTTATCCGAAATCTTTGTATCATTTGCCTGATGAAGATGACAGTAGTTCATTGAAAGCTAGCAATTTTCAAAATAAAATCAAAGTAATAATCCCCGATACCGCAGAAATGTCTGATCATAGAAATTTTTAATTGATATTGCAAATTTATTCTAAGGGCATCTCCATTGGAATTATTTTGATTCTTGTAAATTTTAACTTTGAACCTTAGTCACGACCGAAGTGTAAACATTTAAATCTATTAAATCTATTAAATGAAGTTAATAAGTTAGTGGTATATCTGAGGTTTGGATGATGCTTGTTAACCATATCATAAGGTTAATACGCATCTTCAACTTTCTCATAAGATTCCTTACGAGAAAGCTGAAACATGTCAACAGTTGTGACTTAACAAAATAAAAAATGTACAAATGTTCCAAATTTCGCATAAGTTACCGTAATACGTTCTTCTTATAGATTCTCGTTTATTGCTTATGGAAATATTTATTAAAAAAATTTTAATAAAAGTTTTAAATTTTAATTTTAAATTTTAAAATATTTAGAAAATTTAAAATGTTTAATATTTAATTTTCTAAATTCGTGCAAAAACAACTTAGATTCTGTTATACATACTTTAATTGTCTAATACAATTTAATATAATGCAGCAAAAATATTGATACCTTCGAAACCAGATGTTGAAATAAGTTGTTTAATATTTTCAGATATCACGAAATAAATCTTATTGAGGCTCATACTCCGTTATGCGAACTCATTATATACGAGTTTCATTTATTCTGAGCTATTAAATAAATCTCTCAAATTTATGATGGCGTACGATTACTATGAATGGATTGGATTAGAATATATTTTCTTTCCAGAATTGGGCACATATACAAGGCATTATTTAGTTGATTGCAAAAAGGTAATGCTACGCTTGTTAACACCATAATTAATGTAAAACTGTAAAAATTACATTTTAATTTTCTAAACTTTGTCGGTGCTACAGTGTAATTAAAATTAAATTGCAGGATTAGATTTATTAATGTTGATCCTTATGACATTAAAATAGTTTCTTTTGCAGTAGAATATTTAACAATAGTCGTAAATTATATACATCCTTTGACCAAATTTTCATGGCACCGCTTATAAAACCACTAGGCTGGCTTTAATGCACAAAATGCCATTTTTTACAAGGAAAAAAAAAAGAAATAAAAAAAGATAGAGGGTATTCACGGGAGGTATAGTCAAGATTCTGGGGCCACTCCAAGAGCCTGACTTAAGCCGAAAAAAAAGAGTTTAAACTTTATCCGATTTTTTTGCGTCCCGGAGAAAAGATTAATCCTTAATTAATTAATTAAAAATAGGGGTACGGGTGACCTGACAGTTTCAAAGTTTGATATGGACTGAAACTGATACTTCCACAATCTAATATTGAGCCGTTTTACCGCATAACTTATACATTGTCCGCAAATATGTCAGAAACAGGATGAACATTATACACAGCTAACTCGAATGGAAAAGAGACCATTAATATTAACGTGGAATCTAAGACCCTAGTTGGACAAGCAAAAATGGAAAACGGTTATTCTTAAGTAATATTGTAATTAAAAGAAATGAAACTTTGGATTATTTGAATTTTACATGATTCATTTATTTGCATTAATGTATTTTTTGCAAGTTATACATATGTAAAGGGTGTTAATAAAGTCCGATCCCATTTTTCCTATAAAAAAGTGAAGGCTAGTATAAAAAAAACTACCCGTGATACTTACAAAAAATGTTCGACATATTTACCTTAGTATTTGGTCTTGTTACCATTTACTTTAACCATGCCCTCAACTCTTTGTTTAAGGCTCTGTGCTAATTTTTCCAATGTGTCTGTGGGAATCGAATTCCATACATCTTGAACTTTTTTTACTAGCTCTTCCCTCGTCCGGGGTTGTGGTTCTTTGTATACATTTTCCTTAAGTATGGACCACAGGTTCTCCAGGGGATTCAAATCTGGGCTGTTTCCGGGCCACACCCCCTTGCTCCAGACCGTTGAAACTTGCGTCTTGATGAGACTCAAACTCGCTTTTGCTGTATGGGCTGTAGCACCATCCTGCATGAAAACTATTTTTCTTTCATTCGGAAATATTTCCTTGTTCCCCATGCTATCGAAATAGATAGGTAATATTTTTTCCATATAATACTTTGCATTGACTGTTTGGCCTTTTGGTATGATATGTAGAGGAGTCACGCCACGTGCACAAAATCCACCCGCTACCATAACTTTAAGCCCGAATTTTGGGACTGCTCTTGATGGTACATCCGATTTGTTTTCTGTCCTGTAACGAACATTTTGTTGGTTCAATTTTGGATATAGCTCAATAATAGATTCGTCAGTCCAAAGGATGTGACTGCGCAATTCTTCACCAAGTCTTTTTTCACTCAAATGGCCACTTTTCTGAAGGAGTTCTCCAAATTTCAGACGGTCATCGATATTTTTTTGTGACATGAGAGGTTTTTTGGTTAGTTTGTAAGCTGTGTGACCCCACCTCGTAGATTTCACAAATTTTTGCACGGTCACATAGTTAATTTGCTTCTTCTTCTCTTTATAGCGTTTTGAGTCATTTAACTCCCTTGCACAATTACGTAATGAACTACCGGTTTTCTTGTAAAGTCTGTTTTTAATCATTCTCTTTGTGGTAGGTGACACCTTTCTGGGTCGCCCGGGTCGCTTTTTGTCGTGGACAAAATTTTTGTTCTTCCATTTCCAAACAGTTCTGCGGCTGCAGCCCAATTTTTGCACAATTTCTGCAGGTTTAAACCCCTGCTGATGCAATGTTTGTATCTTAACTCTAAGATGCTCATGACTTACACGTTTAGTTGTTCCTCCCATGGTAAAAATTTGAAATAAATAACTTCACTGGTTCAAAAGTTCCAGCTGAATTTGTAACAACCGCGCTCCAAAAAATTCATGGGATCGGACTTTATTAACACCCTTTATGTACTTATGTATCATAGCTTGCAGAAGGATATTTATTAGAATTAAATATGATGACACTGTACAACTCGTTAAATTATTTAATCATCTCTCAACTCCTCCGTCAGATCAATCATATTTTGGTAAAATTTTAATTCATCTGTAACCTTCTGCCAACCTTGGTCAATTTTTGCTTTCAAAATCGCAACAACATTCCTTTCCTCGTTGGGAAGACTTCTATGAAACACTTTTCGAACATACTCTTTATCCAAGACAATCTTGTTTTCTATCACCATGAAATCCATCATTCTCACAAAGTGACCCCATTTGACCAAAATTTCCCAAACATTCTCCCCAGCGGCATCCTCCTCCGCAAAGGCTGCCGTGATATCAATTTCATTCGCAAGTGCGACATTGACCAGACTTCTGACCAAGGGAAAGTCATCCACCCTTGCATTAGCGGCGACATGGAATGGACCCTGATTGTTTCTCATCTTCAGAATTTCTGCTTTCTGGCTGGGTGTTAAACAAGTGTTAAAATGTTCCATTATTCCATCATGCAAAAGAGTGTTTCCCGGTCCCGCGAATTTGATTGCCATTAAAAATGCGGTATTGTCAGAATTATCCGTCCTCTCAAATAAGGCCTCATTCAGTTCCTCCACAGTTAAATTTTTAGTCATCCAGGCCCACAGTGCATTACTGGAAATGGGTGGTGAGTTTCTCTCAGGAATTTCATAAAATATTGCGACTCTTTTAACCCTGTGTTCGTGCAAGCGTCGGTAATAACGTAGGGGATTGCGTATGTAAATAGGGAACGGTGAGAGAATGAGTTTTTAAGAATTGTCTCCAGTATCTTTGGACAATCGGATGTTGCGGTTTGTAATAATGACTGAAGTTCTAATATTGCTCCTTGTCTCGAAGATTGTCAAGTTGTCCTTGTCCAGTCCATTAATAAATGAGTTGAAAAGACTGAAATAATTTGAAATCAGTTGCATAATAAATATAAAAATTACCCAGTAGAACTTGTTCCTTTTCATTTGTAGGTAAGACGATTTCAGTTGTATTTCCGGTACAGGCACTACTCAGGTATAACTCTTTTTTAAGAATATTATCTGGTAATGAAAGTTCGGTTGTGCAGAAACCGTTTAATTTCTCCCATGCCTCGAAATAACCTAGGCGTGCGGCCGTGTTCAAAAGGGAAATTTCACCCTCGGGAAAAATGCAGGTTTCAAGAGGTTCTATCACTCCACGACGTTTTACTTCTTTCAAAATAGAATCTAAAATCAACCCATTCGTCGCCCAGATACAAAACAAAAGCAGGGTAGATCCCCATTTGTTCTCGGAAAAGAATAAGTGCGAGACTTCTTCATCTTCTAAAACTCCTCGAGTCTGAGCTACCAGTGCAGTAAAGGCTTCGTCACGTCCAACGATGGCAGAAAAAGAGGACAGGTAACTGAAATTGTCTTCGTCAAGGCCAAAAGTATGCGTTTTTTCTCATCCAAATCTAAACAGTCGGCGTATTTGAACATAGTATTGACAATGTCGGCACTCTCTGCATCCTTCATTGGTGCCTGTAGAAAACCGCACCTGCTTCCCAACAAATTTTTGAGGGTATCCACCCCCTCATCCAAAATTTTCACACTTTTCACAACAAATTCCAAAATGTTGGCGTTTCCATCTTGATTAATGCGATGAGTAAATGTGCAACCTTCGGACCAAATCCACTGAACGAGTGGATTCTGACAGTTTGGTAACTAAGTTTACGTCAAACTTGCGATTCTAGGATCGGCAAATTTTGGGAGGGCTGGAAATTATTTTTGATTATTTCAGCCAAGAATATATTTAAATTTGCTCAACTGGAATAGTTTATTTTCATTACTTTTATCCTTTTTCCAAATATTTTATCAAAGTTTCCCATTAAATAAAAATTCCCCCAGACTCCCAATTATTTCTTATAGAAAATAAATTAACTGCAAACTTTATTTAACAACCAAAGTTTTCTTATAGAAACTGACGAGTTTTAAATTTCCAAATTTTTACAAAAAAACTCGAAAAATCCAGTTTTTGCATTGGTTGATATAGGGAAAGTTCCAATATTTATAAGGTAAAAGTCCACTTTTTACCAAGGAATTTTTCCAAAAAACAACACTGAAAATTTCATGAATTGAAGTTTTTATAAGTTTCGGTGTCATGGAAATTTTTGTGGGTCCATGAATGTCATGGAATCGGGATTCAAGTGATTGGATATTAATTACATGACTGTCGTGGATACGGGATTAAGAGAAATATACACGATTCCATAACATTCATGGACTTGGGCTCCTAAAGGTTAACCATTTTAACTACTTTGCCCCTTTTGTGATCATACTTATGCAAATTTTCAAACTCTGTCAGCGCAATTATCAAACCTGCACTAAAAAGGTTACCAAATTATTTGAGATTAAAGTTCGGTATTAATTATTAAATTATTGTTCAATCTGTCAAAATTATGACGTGTTATTCATGTCTCGGATCATTGCGTGCCTAATTTGTTGTATAATCTTGATTCTATCCATCTTGGGTTTAAGTAGCAAATTATTTTAAAGATTTTTATTGCAAAAATTATGATCCTCTACTTAAAATAAAGTGATGACTAGTAGAATTTAAGTAAAATAAACTTTTCTCTTATAAACTACAATCGTCATTATAAAAATAAATAAAGTTCTTAATCACTTAATTACCAAGTCGTTTGTAAATGGAAATATTCAATTCAAGTTGAAAACCTTGGATGTAGTTTTTTACGATAGTGAATTACGCAACACATTAAATATCAAAGAATAATCGTCAATAAACATTTATTAATTAAGAATGAATTACAAAATGCATTTTTCAGTGATACATAAATATGTCACTAATTTGAATTTGCGCGCCTTCCCTGTCAACCTGCGGGGCAAGTATTGCTCCCAGTTTTAGGGCACAAACTCATCAAAGTTGAAAACAACATGTTGGACACTCTAAAGTTTTGAAGACCCTGAAGTTCCTTGATAAGGGCGAAGTGGTCGACATCGATAAACATGAGCTGGTCTATGGTCGGTGGGGTTGAGCAGGTAGATATTTCCAAACGGTTCACGACAGGCTTATACGTCACGCACAGGGTCGTGTTTGAAGATAGCACGATGGAAAAATAAAGTTGGGACCCGGTCGGATGTTTGCGCATTGAAGGATCCATTTTGACCGTCCAGAGTTCCGTCAACAGTCCAAGGCAGGTGCTGAGCACGATTTTTTTGTTATATTTGTTTAAGTCCATGCATCTAAACTTCCCCCCAGAAGTTCTATGGGCGGCGGTGTCATTATTTGCAAACTTGCGTGTTCTGAAAAAAATTGAGCTTTTTAAGGCTGTTAAATTCAAATTTGATCATTTTGATATAATATTCACGTCGCAAACCTAAAACCTAATTTTTATCGCCAAGGTTATGCCATAAAATACGATCGTCAAAAGCACTATGAAGTGGTTAACCACTTCATAGCTGAATAGTTTGATAAAAATTTCCATTCAGTACTACTACGTTCCCAATTAACATCCGTTAACGACGGAAGTAAATTTTCACTATTTTCCAGTTTGGAATTTCTGGATTTTTTCATGCAAAACTCAGAAGTTCAATTTTTAACCTTGGTTGATATAGGGAAAGTTCCAAAATTTGTCAGGCAAAATTTCCAAAAAATCCACTTTTCATTATAGAGTTTTTCGCTAAAAACAAAAGAAAAACTCTAAAATAAAAGTTTTGAGTTTTCTCGATGTCATGGGAGCATACGACACAGTCGTATATCGGCGTGAAGGTCGAATACGCCACATAGTCGTAATCCGTTGTCAAGGCCAAATACGACACAGAGTCGTAGCCGGGGCGAAGAGGTCAAAGCACCTTAAGACTTGTGAGACGATTAAAGATGCACATGTAACCGAGCTGAGTATACTACAAAAAGCCGCATGTCGAAATTAAAAAACCTGACGCAGGAAATCATATTTGAATTTACCAATACGAAAACATCATCTTACCAAAAATTTGTGCAATTATTAAATGAATTAACTTGCCTTATCATAGGGCCAAAAAATTCCCACATATACTCATCTTCAATTGTGTTGCCCGTCCCCATCTCCCATGGACCCTCATCATCCACCGGGGCATGAATTACGGGAGCCGGGCCATCCCAGGACGTCATTATTGGTTGAAGAAATCTGCCATTTGCTGCCAGGCGCAGCATTACACGGGCCGGGTCTCCATTAACAATAGTGGCAGCGGTAAAGAGACAAAGTAGAAAATATGTATTTGTTGCCATATTAACAAAGATTTTATTTCACTGGGAAATAATGATCTCGGCCAGAGGGACGAGTTCTAATTGAGCAGGGAAATGATGACTGTTTGTCTTAAATGATAGTTGAATTTGAACTATGGGGACAGGAAATGGGGACAGGATGGAATATGAAGATCTAGTAAAGCAATCAATTTGCACATCCGGTATTTCATAAACAATAAATATCTGGTACCCAAAAAAAGAGTTAATCGCGGGACAAGTTGACTTGAATTACGACCACGACCACATATGCATATTTTATTTTCCAAAACCGGATAAATATTTGGGCACCTAAAGTTTGATAAATGACTTACTAAGAAATTCATAAAATGTGATTCCAGTTTCCGTTAGTGCGCGCTCTAAACGGGCCATCAATTTGCTCATCCGGTATTTCATATAAACAATCTCACACTTGCATATTTATCTGCTACCTAAAAAAGTTAGTCCTTATCGCGGGACAAGTTGACTTGTATAACTAACGGAACTAACTGGAATCACATTTGATGAGTAATAGTAAATCATTTATCAAACTTTCAGTTGCCAAGTATTTATTCGTCTTCCTGTTTTGCAAAATAAAATATATGGCTATCATTTCCTGTCAATATTTTTTTCTGACTTATTCTTTGGTATGCTGTTTGTCCCACTAACGTAACGGTATATCATTAATCTCTGGATATGTGGCAGCTGAATTGATATTGCCGACAATTAATGATGGGTGTTTCCTTTTCCGGCTGAAATCTTGCCTAAATTATATTTCCTCTAGAGGTTTTATAGTGATGTGGTTTACATGGAGCTGGATAGCAAACTTTGGTCAATAAGCCACTCTTTTTGTGCACCATTAAAAAGTTAAAAAATATTTTGAAATTTTGTTTGTATTTATTTCGAAGTATGACGGGAAATATGGCGACGTGCAAAAATTATAAGTCTACTTTTTTAAGAGTTGCGCAAGTGTCACTACTTTTTCTATTATCAAGCGTCAATTCGGCATCAATTAATCAACCTGTGAACAATGACCCGGCAGAGAAAGGAGATGATAACGTTTCTAGACCCCGTCGGCAACTGGATACTCAACAGTTTGGAACGGTTGATCAGGTAAAAGCATAGTTCAAAAAGTTATGAAAAAATTAAAGTGGACGAATAGACAATCGAGACATGATTTTTATTGCGCTCTAACGATTTTGACCTATGTTATCTTAAAAGTTGCGTAATTTTGAGTACATGAAAAATCCGCAATAATACTGGAGCGGGGCGGATGCCGTTTTTGCACTACAAGCCAAAATGTGCGTATTTTTAGATTTTTAAACTTTGAGTGAAACTCGTCTAAATTTGCCCAAACACGGCTGGAAATCGGTCCTAGAATTATTTTGGACAAATATTTGCACACTGTATCGAATTTGGACACCTATTTTGTGTTTGGGCGAATTTTGGGAAATAGTCGCATTTTGTCCCATTCTACCCAAAGTAATTTCATCATTTATTTACTTTGATTTATTTAGTTGCTGCCGTTTCTACAACCACCCATAAAAATTCCACTACCGACCGGCATCTTTCCAGAAACAACTATTCAACAATACGGGGTAGCAAGCTCCAAAATATGTTTGGCATTTGGCTCGAGAATTCTTGACTATGTGGATAGTCAATTCAAAAAATGGCAAAGTCCAACCTGGTATTCATTAACTGGTAACAATCCCGATGAACCGGGGGATGAGGCAAGTGCTTCAAAAAAACCTCGAATTGAAATGGATTTATCCAGTCTGGTAGGTCAAATGCAGCTTCCATCGAGTTCCGGAAGTGCAAATATAGGAACAGATAATGATGCCATTACAAACGCTGTGAGAGACTTGTACGGTCCTAGAATAAATCCTGAGGAAGAAAGGAATCAGACAAAACACTACAATCCGGTGTAAATTGAATACTATTTGTCAGTTTTTGCTTTAGGGACATTACCCTGGCCTTTAGCATTGTAGACTGAACCCCATAGCTTTTGAGGGGAGGAATTTGAGGCAATTTTCAACTTCCCCCAATTTTTGTTATGATTAGTGTTTCTTTTTTGACGTCCAAAACAGTTTTTGGCCGGATAAAACCACTGGTCAATGTCCAAAAGTGGTCAAAATGGTCAAAAGTGGTTAATTGTATATTGATATAACCCATGGTCCACTTTTGACCATTTTTACCATCAAATCTCGGTGTCCAAAAGGTGGTAAAAACCACTTTTTGGACTTTCTTTTTCTTTTCTTTTCAACCTTTATTCGAGTGTAAATGGATATCAGTTTAACAAGAAAACTGGTTTGAAAACCATGACACAAAAATAGCTATAACTCTATAAACTAGACTACATACTAGCATACAATACGCCGGCCTGTCCAGTGCGGTTTTAACCACACGAAACACTAGTTATGATGTCACATGTTGAATATTCACCTCACAGACCTTCGGCAAAGTTTAAGGCTTCAATTAGAATTTAAAAGCTAAGTTGTGGAAGGATTTCTAATTTGAGAATGTTACGCTCCAAATAATTTTGTAACGAATTATTTCCCTGCGGAGTTACTAAGACGCTCTACTATGCTTGTTGGAAATTGTTGCGGAATGATAACAAGAATTTTTAAGAAATTCAAATTTTTCACCGATCTGTACAAATTTGAATTTAGTGGACATACTTGTTACCATTCTGCCATAATTTCTTATCAACACTGTAGAGCATCTAATACCGCACGGTAACAATTCGTTACAAAATTGTTTTGAGTGCAATTTTTAAGTATTTTAAGTTTAAAATTTTGAACTTGAAGTCCGAGATTTTGTAATATTTGCAAAAAAAATTGAACCTACCACAATTAGCTTTAAAATTCCAAAGTGATAAATTCTTGTCAAAATTTTGTAAACATTTTTTTCCCAGGTGTAAGGATAACTTCAACAATTTCGTTGACTGGTTTGTCGTCTACAAGCTTCCAAAAACCATAGAAAAATACAACCAGGGTCATTGGGACGAGTTCAACTCAACCGGTGGCGAATATGTGTACATTACAAGCGAATCGGTTAAAACAGTGAAAAATTTTATTCATTCCGAGTACAAAATAAACGACCATATCAACATGATCGCGTACACGTTGGACCCAATTTATGACATTGAAGATCGACTGGACATATTTTTCGCAATGTACAACGACCAACCACCGATCGGGAGCAGCAGAGATTTCCACGCACATTCGAAAGGCGTTTTAGCACTTGGGATGTTGACCGGGTTTTGGATGCCACATTCCGTACCGAAATTCCCTGCCAGCAGATCCGAGTAATTGGGCCTGATGAATAAAGTTGAACAAATGCTTTTACTTCAAAATTTTCATTGGAAAGGAAATTTTTTTGGCTTCAAATTTTGAAGTAAAAGCATTTGCTCAACTTTATTCATCAGGCCCATTGTGATACCGATATTTTAGAGAGTTAACATTTCTACGTTTTTAGAATTTCCGTAAAATTACGTTTCTCTTGAGAGTGGTCAAAATTTCGATAACAAATTTGTAAATTGTAGCGAGTGGTAGTGTTGACATTTTTAATGGGCATTTTGAAAATTTTCCCCACTATTAAGAGATACGGAGCTTTACGGAAATTCTAAAAACGTAGAAATATACGTCTAGCAACTCTCTATTTTATAAACTTTTTATAATTCCCTCCTAATTTATTTAGGTTTGAATATGGCAGCCCTAAAAATGGGCAGACAATTATGTGCATATCCATAATGACGGGATTGGCAGGGAAACAAATGTTGGACATTATAGAGACAATAAAACCCTACATTTATTTTAGCAGTGCGGACCTATTTGACAATTTTGAAGATCCTGTACCGGTACCGGGTGAAATCATATCTAATCTTGGAGGACATCTTTCTTCCTTTCTTAGTGAAATCAATAATCGGTATAGCAACAAATTTCCTAATTTTTGACGACATAATGCATTTTGTTAAAAACGTATCTTGTCCATCAATTTTAATATGAACATCGACATGCGCTAGATGTTCGATCAAATAAGGAATAATTATTTATATAAATCTTCGACTGTTTAAAATATGTTGGAATTTGGATTGCTGCGGAGCACACGTTTTAGAATCATTTAGAAGCTAGTTGGAATGCGGGGTATTATTTTCGCATTAACACCATTAGCAGATAATAGGGTCTCCCAACTTAGGTGATTTTTTCGCTTTTCCTGATTTTCCCATAACTATTAGCATTGCCAAACCGGAAAAAGCGAAAAAATCGCCTAAGTAGGAAGACCCGAATACACTCTTTATGATTAGCTTTACTCATTTTTATATTATTCCGCAATGCAAAATTGTATCCTTGCATTGTTTTGTTTTAGATCGACGCCCTGCAATTCCATCTCCGAAACTATCATGTCCATCCATCGAATGCCGTTTGACGTGGTGGCCCATTCTCGGGATTTTAACGTCAACATTTTCGACCACCTGTTGTACAATTATGAGGATAATTTCATAACTCAGACTTGGCGGAGAACTAGAACTCTGGCACCCGAAATCAGCTTGATACCTCCGAGAGACAACTCCAGTAATAAAATGGTGGTCAACATTTGCGAAATTGGGCTCGACTATTCTTTAGAAGAAACTGGGGTTGGGTTATTTGTCGATTATAAGACCCTAGCCGTACGAATATTCAGATGGGGATACACCAAGGATCATTCGAAATGGGCGGTCGCGGTGGAGCAAGAGATTTTCTGTGCGGGAGATTTGAATAGGGATGAACCTCAAAATAAGAGGGGAGGGTCACTCGTTTGTTTCCGGGAAAAGACAGTGGCCGAGTCGTTCAGGTGACACGTTATTCATATTTAGCATCAGTGTTCCGGGTGGCTTTAATTCTTATGGTTAAAACCGGTTGTGACCGGCCATTTAGGCCGGCTGAAAGTGAAGGCTATTAGGGCCGGTCAAAACTTCGCCAATATGAAATACAATTGGTTCTTATTGCGTTCCCCTAGGTGGCGTATTTTTGACCACTTTAAGCCGGCCAAGAGGTAGTTTTATCCGGCAGAATCGGAACACTGCACTCAAAATAATTTTGAGACAAAAATTATTACCTCGATGGCGTAGTACCTACAAGGCCGGAGACAAGTGACGCTACCGGGACGAAGACGAAATTGTATACGTGTAGTAACAAAGTCGTATCCGGATAGTGATAGTTTCTTACTGCGCAATTATAAAGTTACTATCGTACAGTAAGAAACTATCACTATCCCGATTCAAATTTGTTACTACACGTATACAATTTCGTCTTCGTCCCGGTAGCGTCGCTTGTCTCCAGCCTTGTAGGAACTACGCCATCGAGGTAATAATTTTTGTCTCAAAATTATTTTGAGTGTGTTTATCGTAGGTTAATTCCTGCAAGTGCAATTTAAAAGGAAAATACTTATTTTTATAGATATACGGTAATGTCCATTGCAAAGTTTAGTGCTTGTAAGGCTGGAAGGTGTCCGACGCCTTGGAGTTTAATGTTCTACGAGGAATTGGTCGATGTACATGCTACGTTCGATCATTGGTGTGACCGCACTTTGCAGGGTGAGATGAGGGATGGTGAGCTGGAGTGAAAATTTTGCTTTCGTTTTTTTTCACGGCGGTTGATTCAATAACCAAATATATTGCAAATATTGTGTATTTATAAACTTTATATGGATGATGTTGAATGTAAGCATAATATGTAAAACAAGATACAATTAATAAAATATCTCAATATCTAGTTAATACATAGTTAATTAAAAGTTAATTCTTGGAAGGACTACTGCTTCCAAAAAGTATAAATCCACTCAACAGGTATACTGGAATGAATATCAACCAGATATGGTCTTCGACTCTCCTCCCATTACTACCCTACCCCCAGTGATCGTTGCCCCCAGTGATTATTTACAATCAATTGTGTTTTCAAAAAGATGTCTACGGTGTGTATGGAAATTATTGCGAGTCAAATTAAGAGCGTAATAAACTGTCAATTAATTCCAAATCCCTTCGTCTTGGAATAAAAACCTTTTTATATTTTAATACCTTAATATTTAGTGTGTCTACCACCAAATTTCTGCATTTCTGCTATTCGGGGTTTAAAAGATTTTGACAGCTTCCCCAAGAAGTCTGGCGAGAGCATAGGCGTAGCCACGGCATGGGCAGGGTGGGCATGCAATGCAAATGCCCACCCTGGAAAATTCATACGTTCCTCAAAGTTTCAATAAGAGTTTTAACTCGATTTAAATTTCAAAATATTCCGCAATATTCTTTATTTTCGTACCGTAGACCTTTCCCCATCTCGATTTCCTTCTTGCTAGTCTAAATTGATAGTTAGTTTTACATAACTTAAAATTTGTCATAGAATATGAGCTTGTAAAATTGCGTGTTCGCGAAATATTTGGCTAGAACGGCAGGAAAATGGGCAATTTTGGAATTGTTGTAATGATTTAACATAATCAACAACTTTTGTAATGATTAAATGAAGTTTATTAATTTTATCTTTCCAAATTACCCATATGTCGTACTATTATTACTTACTATACGTATGTATGAAATGTATGCATGCAGGTGCTTAAATTTTCGTAACTTCTTGCTAGTCGCCAGCATGCAAAACCAAGTGCAAGAATTTTCCATTTTTTCACAAATTATTACATTGTCAAAAGTTTCTTCAATTCAAATATTGTTGTTTTCTAAATTGAAATAAAATTTACAAGTTAGATTTATTGTACATAAATAGTGTGCAGTGCACACAGGTTTTTAAGTCTTATTGAAACAAATTTTTCAGGCCAAAAAAAGGCCATGTTCATTTGCGCCTACGTATTTTCATACAAAATTGTAAGTTTAAATTTTCGAAAATTTTTGTCATTAAAAAATAGAAAACTTGCAAGTTTGTAAACATGTTTACGAAGAACAGAACTTTTAAACTTAGGAGTAGCAAGTCAGAGGTTGTCAATGCTAGATTTTGGTGCCTTTTGGATATGTTGTAGTACTATATGAGTGTACGAGAAGTGAAGAATGGTTTTACTCCATGGCCCCATTTGTGCCCGCCACACCCCCTCAAAGGTACGCGAAATGCTGAACTTGCCGCACTAAAACCTTCGCCAAGAAGCCAATTTTGCTTGGATTTAAAAAAAAATTACATATTCTTGATCTCAGATAGTTGCTTAATCATGCTCAATAGCAAAATCAACTTTTTTGAAATTTTTACTATTTTCGAAAATTACCTGAGCAAGGGCTTGACTTGAGTAAATGTAAAATCAGTGTTTTAAATTTTACCACTTGGTTTGATTTTTACCATCACAGTGGTAAAAAGTGGTAAAAAGTGGTATAAACTGGTAACAAGTGGTAAAAACTCAGGATTGGTTGCTTTAAGCCGTGGGAAGTTCAAACTAAATGGTATTTTGAATAATACGTAAATAGTTAATAGTTTAGCATAATATTTCTCATCTTTCCTAGCATTTCTCTCTTATGTAATCAAACATAAATTACAAATAACACATATTTTATTTAGTTCCCATCAGAAATGCATATTTTTTGTTACGCGTTTGTTCATAACATTTTTTGACTTTCTTGTAAACTAAACCGTGACATTTAAAACAAACCGAAATTCATTGCCTTCGTGCGACAATTGACAGAACCCAGGGTTTTTTAAAAATATTTCGCTTGAAAACCGTTTAAAATATGTACTTAAGTCTGTTTTTCATTTAATTTTTTTAAATTCTTACTAATGACTTATGAGTTTTATAATTGTGACCAATGAAAGCACTCAGGTTCATAAGAAATGGTGGTACTACCTGGAGTAGTGTGCATTTTGGTGTGCACTTGGTTATAATTATCAAGTTTAACAAAGATTACAGATATGTAAGTACATATGTATTCAGTGTGTCCATGTATTAATCTAATAATTATTGGTTGCAATTTTTTGTTAAATTCGTATGGCAAAATTAGTCTCACAATACCCCAAAATGTTTATACCACTTGATACCACTTTTAGCTCGGTGGTAAATACCGGTAAATACCAGTTTTTACCAGTGGTAAATACCACTTGGTAAATACCACTTTAAACACTGTGTAAAATATCTTGTAATAAAACCCTTCTTCACTTTTCACACACACATATGGTACTATGTACAACATATCCAAAAGGCATCAAGATCTGCGATTCTGTCGGTCAAGGGTTGTCCTCCTTAGTGAAGGTTGACAACATGCGACCTTCCACTCCTTAGAAGGTCGCAATTAAGTTTAAACGAACAAGATTCAAGTTTAGAAAATTATGTACATTTACATAATTTGCACAATTTGCAAAAATAGTTAGCAAATATTCCCATCGCTTTCTGGTGATGAGTATGAAATTACGGCCAGAAATATAAATAATTTATAAATATTTCATCTTTCCGAAGGCTAAACATATTTTAAACATCTATGTTAACAGCATTTGAAAAACTGCCCCTTTTGGTGCACTTCTTGTCAATAATTTTGCAAAAAGGTGATTTTGCAACGTATGATCTATGACAAAGTTTAAGTCACACTAAATTGTCTACCAATTAAGACTACACGGCAATTAGCCTATAGTGTGCTACCGCCGCTGGCCTGGCTATATTTTTCAATGAGTAATCCGATCAACCCACAAAGTGCTTATGTACACAGACTGTAAGGGAGGAAGTCGAGATGTGAATGATCTACATCATGTGAAAGTAAGTACTTTGGGCTTTCTTGAGTGTGTAATTTTTATCATTACAAATAACCAAGCTTTTGCATGTCGTAATGATTATCAAATAAACAATAAAGTGAAAAGATGCACACCCGACGCAGTTATATATTTAGTTACAAACTTGTACAATGAGAAGTAGATATTGCTGATTCTCAAGACCAAAATGTAACATATTCTACTCCATGCTTTCTAATTTATAGAAACCGTATTTAAATACATAATATGTACATATATAGTTAGGTGTATTTAAGGGAAATAATTAAGGTATATATATATATATATTTCGAACAAAGTGCCCACCCTGGAAAAAATCCGTGGCTGCGCCTAAGGGCGAGAGAGAATCCCAATTTTTTGGAAATCGCGTAATTAAAGTCTGTCAAACCTTGGCATTTGTGTCATAGTATGCCGAAATTTTGAGAATAGTTCAAAGATTCTCGATTAGGTTCAAATCCGGACTGTTTCCTGGCCAGGCACCCTTCACCCAGACATTTGAAACAGCCTCCTCCAAAATGCTGATTTTAGTTTTGGCAGTAGGGCTGGAGCACCATCCTGTAAGTAATTTATTTTTTTATTAAAAAATTTCCGCACGCACTTACAATCGGAAACACAAAAATACGGGTACGTTTATTTTCCAGGAATAAACTAAACTTGGTCCCATCAAGATCGAGGTGCAACACGTCACGAAATCGTATTATAATTAATTTTACAGATCAAGTTTACCAATCTTGTCGAAAATGCTGTACCGCTTGCTTCTCCGCATGGCATGGACAATGTCGGTATCGTAGTAAACGTGCACAATGGAAATTTCCGTTTTGCTTTTAAGAAACAAGATAAAAATCTTGATAATTTAGTCAAAATTGATTCACCACTTACTCCTCATGCCAATTGTATTTATAGTTATATTCTTTTGCAAGGCTTTCTTCAATTGGGCTCCAATTTATTCCCGTCTTGTAATTGGTATCCATACAATTAGGGACGCATTTCGGGCACTCCTTTGTCATGCCGGCTTTATACATCGCCCCTAAATGTATATTTTTAGTTTTCTTAATATTACCAGCTTGGTAACGATTCTGATTACCTTCTTTTTCATGAGCACACGTAGTATTCTGCCGGTTGCATAAAACTCTTCCAGGAAATCCTTCAAGCTGAATAAAACTTTTAAATTGTGGATGGATTTATATATATAAACATTTATGTGCCTACCAGGAGTATCCAGCATGCTTCAATTGCACGTTTTATATATCTTCTTCGAAATACACTCGGGCAAACAGTTTTTTCTTGAGTATTTCTGATATTTCTGATCCATCCCGGCTTTAGCTACCTCATCACTGAACAAGCATTTCCGCTCACTCTACATTAACAAAGACGAATTATGTCGTCAAGTGGCCTGAGATTCGATAAATCAAGAGACAACTTTGTATAATTAGTTAACTGCTAACCACATCGACTTTTTTAATTTCTGCATCTGCAAGTAAAACCTCAGGTAAGATGGCGACGGAAATATCGCTACCGAATGGCAAAAGCTTCCCAAATTGCTTGATCTGGGGTTCATCAGAAGGTCGGTTTACTGTCAACTGGATTAATGCGTAACATAATTATTGATAGGCTACAGTAAAACATTGTGAAGTAAAGTACGTTCAAGATAATCATGGGAAAAATCGCTGTTGTATAAAGTCACTTTTTGATGCTCTAACGGGTTGATTGAAAATTATCGAAGAATCGTAATAAGCATTTCCTTGAAAATCTAAATTTCATGGAAAATTTTGTTTCCCATTCCATTATAATTTATTTTTAATATGCGTGAGCATCATAATATCTCCTTGCAATAACGATTTTTACTAATTTATTTACCATGTACCATAAATCCATTCCCATCGGAATGTGCACAAGTCGTATAAGTAAACTTGTCGTGTTTTATAACAAATCGGAGTCCGGATGGTCGGCCGGGTGCATTTTGTCTCCAGGGTATTGAAACATTTTTGTCAGTAGTATGTTAAGTATGACACTTTCGTCATCCCAGTTCACTTTTTTCCAGTGATCGATCTCTTTCTGCGAGTTACTCACGACAGACTGTAGGGTTTTTAAGCTAGATAAAAGCAAGACCGATTTCAAATAACCTTTGCATACATTGAGAAATTTGTTACCCATGTAGGGGTAACTTGATGGGCCTTTTATTTTTTGTAAACATTGCGAAGATTTGTATAAAATTCTAGAAGTCAGAAATTTGTGATTTGCCAAGTTAGGAATATTCTATGGCTAACCTTCGGGTAGCTTCGCTTGGAATTCCGTTGAAGACGCAGCTGCTCCCCCACTCGGTCAGATGCTGGCGAAATATAGATCCACAATCTAACTTCACCATCGAGAAAGCAGCCATCCAAGAGTTCAGAGCAGTCGATCATTCCCTAGTAATTGATAAGTAAATTACGAAGGGTTTGCAGAATCACAGGTTTTTGTAACTTACCTTCTTTATAATGGGTA